CAACTATTTATAACATAGAATAGAAGAGTAAAATAATATTATAAAGAGAAAAACTTACACAACATGAAGTATACAACTATTTATATTTCAATCATGGTGGCTTCATCACTCCCTTGAGAAGGGATGTTTAAGCTACCATACTAAAAAAATAAAACATAAAATTAAGAATGCATGAAAGAAATTCAAGACAAAAATTATCAACTTTTATTATTTTATCTCACTAACTTTGTACATCAAACCTCTTCTACATATGTCCCTTTTCAGAGAATTTAAAATGGAACGATTAATTAGGAAGGAAAAATTCTAATTACAGAAGTAAAAATAAAATAAAATCTTCCTAAAATCTTGTTGCATTTCAATTTGGAATTATGCTTGATATCTTTGACTTGATGTTCTTTCCAATTTGGAATTATCTTTGTTGATTTGATAGAAAAGCTAATTTTGAATTTTACTTTGATTTGATCGTATAATTTCACATTTTTGCTATTTTTGTCCCTTTTCTTCTTATTCCGAAATCAGTCCCCTGTCAAACATGAAAAGTTCGATAAGAACATTTATCTAATAAAAAATATTAATTAATTATTTATTATTAAGTATAAAATAACAAGTTTTGTGCGCTTATCACTAATATAACTCAACTCTTCTTCTATTTGTTATAAAAATGTTAATAAAATATACATATATATATATATATATAACATAAATAATTATTACCGTACTTAAATTTATATATATATATATATATATTAAAAACGCTTTGCAACAAAATAATAATAATAATCATAATAAAAACAAATCAATCAAATCAAATAACCAGATCAAAAGAACAATTAGCAATACATTTCGTTGAGATGACAACATGTGTTCTCAAATAAATGTAATCATCTGTAAATTGTTTATTTTTCTGCCTTTTAAAAGTGTATTGTCTCTTTAAAATTCTCTCCTATATATACGTATATATATTCACGATTAGCAAGTACTCTCTTTTCACACATTTTTTGAAGGAGTTAAAAAATTATTTGAGAGGGGATGATCAGTAATAAAATTATTTTGTTTTTCATGCTACCATAGTAGAAGGCTTTACCAACAATTCACTTGAGGCACTGTTAAAATTTTAGTAAAATTATCGAAGTTTGATACATAAATAATTAGTCTTCGCATGGGCCTTAGGAAGCTTTGTCCATATATATATAATTGAGATGTACTGGTGACGGGATTGAACATGTCAAACCAATATTTGTTGTTGTACTTGTTTTTAGTGCAATTGAATCAAACCTTAGAAAACCCCTGGGCTGAGTTTGGTACAATGGAAATGGGGGAAAAAGAAAGGAAAGGAAATGAAAGAAAATAAATAATTGTGTTTGGTATAAAATGTCGGATGAAAAGGGGAGGAAATGGAGGGATTTGGAAGAAAAGACTAAAGTATAAACAGTAACTTTTATTATCCTCTCAAAAATGGGAGGAAATGAAAGAAAAACAAATATTTTTAATGAAATTTTGTTAATATTAAATTTGCCCTTATATCTATAAGAGAAAAATCATAAAAAAAATATATGATTGTAAATTCATTACATTAGTTTTCTTCCCTTTTTTTTTTTCCCCTAAATATGATTACTATCATTTTCTTTCTTTTCCTTTATTAATCAATCAAACACAACAAGTAACTAACACTATCATCTCCTTTCTTTTATTTTCCCTCATAGCTAATGTTATCCTTTCAATGAACACTATGATTAGAGGGGAAATATTGAACATTATGATTAGAAGGGGAAATTGGAAGAGAGAGAGAGAGAGAGAGAGAGAGAGAGAGAGAAAAGAGGAGGAGGAGGACTTCTTGCATGGATCCATACGTGCAAGGCATGCCATGTTAAGCATTCGGCTTGGTGAGGTCGGCTTCAGGTGCCACTTTCGAGTGCCACCATCTTGGGATAATGCAAAACCATGCTAAGCCATGTTGGCATTCCCTAGTGCCTATTGTGTGCAAGGCATGCCAAGTCCTTGCTAAGTGGGCATGGGTGTCGGAGGAGGTATGATATTCCACCTCTTATGTATGCATAATTGAAGGTTGTACTTTAGGAGAAAACAACGCTTATGTTTGAGAGAAGTCATAATGGGAAAATAAATCATTCTAAACTTATGTTTGAGAGAAGTCATAATAAAAAGGGTTAAATGCAATAAACCCCCCTGAACTATTGGCCATTTGCAAGAAACCCCCCCGAACTACAAAAAAACCCCTGAACTATGATTTTGTTGCAATTTACCCCATGACGTCATATTCCGATACCGGAAAATTTTAAAAACCTTTTTATCCTTATAAACACTACGTCGTTTTAACACCCTTCTTAGCCCTTTTTTTTTCTTTTTTCCTACTAAAAGATGTTCACCAAACACAACCGAAACCAGAGAACTAGAGAGAGAGAGAGAGAGAGAGAGGGGGGGGGGGGGGGGGAAGGGAGACCAGAGAGAGAACCAAATAAATCATAGCAAACGAAATAGAAGAAAAAGAACCCAAATAACATTTCTTTCAATACCAGTTTACACAAAGCAGAATCATTGAATTCCATTAACAGCTTTCTGATAAATTCACCAACCCAGATAACATTTCCTTCAATCCTTCTCACTTATGAAGCCCAACTTCTCACCTCTCCACTCTCAATTCTCTCTTCCCAATATACCCCTCTCTCTCTCTCTGTGCAACCCTCCCTTTTTTCAATTAAAAATTACATAAACTAAGCTTCCCGTGTTTTTTAGTTCGGCGAGGATGAACTCGACCGGTGGAGATGATGGGCTGTGAATGAAATGCGGCAGTGCTTGGCCGGTGAAGAGGTCGGCAGTGGTGATGGGCCGGCTGTGATAGAGCTATGGCAGAAAAGACCCACCGATCCCAGCAACAGAGATCGGCCGCCGCCCACGGATCTTGAATGCAGCTCAGTCATAAGCTTTAGCGGCTTCAATGGCGGTGTCAAATGTCCCAAGCCAAACCCTCGACCTGCGACGATTCGGATCTCGGATCTCCGCCGCGAACTTTGCCCCACGGCCTTCGTCGGACCCCTCTGTAATGTAACCTCTCCTCTGTATTCAAAGGTTTCTTTACAGACACAACTCTCGATGGCTGAGTCGACTCAGCGAATTCCAAAACCTCAAATTTCTTTACTGGAGGCAAATCGATCTTCAACGATGGCTTACGATTGTTGAATCTCAACTCGGAATTCGATTCGAAGTCCAAAATTTTCGACTTTGGCCTCGTGAGATCGATTATTTGTTGTTTTGATTTGAATTCAAAGAAATCATTTTCAATTTGCTCGAATAAAATCGAATAAATCACTGGTACTAACTTCGTTACAGCTTAACAAAGTGATTCAGATACAGAGCTCTAAAAAAATCAAAATTTGCGCTCCTGGTGGTAGAATCGATTGAGTCAGACACGAAGCTCAATCTCTCAACGGGAAAGAATTCACCGAGGAGGGTTTTTTTTGTAGTTCAGGGGGTTTTTCTAAGATTATGTTCATCCAAAGAGATGATGTTATTCCCTCATCCCTGAGAAGGCTCGCGGAGAAGATGAACAGTATTTCTATAAATATATATATATATATATATATATATATATGTCTGTATGTGTATATATAGAAATAAGGGTTAAAGGTGTGTTTGGGTGGAAAAGTAAGTTAAAGAGGTGGGGGTGGTATGGGCACAAGAAGGGCAATGAAGTCTTTTCATGCTTATAAAGGACAATATGGTCATAAAGTTAGATATTTTGGGTCACGTGATGGCTCATGATCGTTTTGCCGGTGAGATGCAGCCGGAGCGTCGCCGGATTGGGTAATCTACAACAAAAATTATAATTCAAGGGGTTTCTTGCAACTTTTGTAATTTAGGGGGGCCTGTTGCTAATTTGTCAATAGTTCAAGGGTTTTTTTTTTACATTTAACCCTAATAAAAATAAATAAATCTTTCTAAACCTTCAAATTGAAAACCGTTTTCCCAATTGTCTTCTAAAAATTAAAGGAAGCTAAAAATTATGAACTTAATTTTTTTTGACATATTTACAAAAATACCATTGTACAATCTTGTAGCACGCTGACAGTCCTTTGAACACCCGTGAAGCTGTCAAGGTCTTGCTAACGTCATTTTGGTAAAGCACCCCTGTTTGGAAGAATGTCAAGGTCTTGATAGCATGATCATTTCATATTCATATTATTCTTGTTCAATTAAGAATTATAAAATGACGGTTCAAACACAACATTTCATACAGAATTTTTAATTTAGTTCTGACACTAACCTTGACTTGGGGTGCTTTTACAAGTTTTTGCAAATTTACCTTTTTATCTTAATTTTGACAGTCTTAGAATATGTCAGCATAATTTGTCAAAAGAAAAAAAAAATATTTGTATAAAAGAAGACAAAAAGGTAAAAATGATATTTTGCACCTTCATTTAACAGTTGTTCCATCGCTAACACTACAAGATATATTGATGCAATTTACCTCAACAAAGTTTTTTTATTTTTTATTATTATTATTTGGAATTGGTTATCGTCGTAAACTTATTGATTAAAAAGAAAAAATTCTTCATAAACTTCTTTCCTGTGACATACAGTACAATATTTGTGTCACAGCTATAATATATATATATATATATATATATATATTCTCTTGACAATGATTAAAGATTCGTAATTAGTAAATTCAAACTTAAGAAGATAAAGTGAGACACAAGGGTCTGGCCTTTTTATTATAGATAAAACCATCACACTTATCACTAATTTGGATATGGTGTGATAACTCAACGGTAGTGCATGTGCTGCCTTTGTTGTCAAAGGCCGACTTTCGAATCCCTACTCCATCAACAAGTTACTTTAATTTCTAAAAAAAAACGTTTATTAAAGTATGATCAGGATTCTATTTTATCTCACCTATTTAAAAAATGACATAGGCAAAGTTAAAACGTGCGAGACTAGATAATGCTGATGCAACAAAACAGAAGGAATGCGTATCACGCACAGCGGGACACGGTAGCATTTGCATCGTAATTTTACAGGAATAAAGAGGGACAAATCGAAAAACCCCTATTTTCCTCGTCTCCTTTTTTTGGTTCACAACATTCCAGATTAGGGTTTGCTTTGACTCTCTCTCTCTCTCCCACTCTTTCTCACTTGAAGCTTCGAAATTCCTGGTAAGATCTTATACTTTGTCTCGTATTTGATTCTGTTTCTGCTTTCTTTATTTCCGTAAAATGTTTTCGATTGTTTTTTTTTAAAAAAACACTCTGAACTGAAACGAGTCTTGAGAAAACCCTAACCCTAACCTTAACCTTGGACTCAAGAACTATGGATGAAAACGAAGGCGGTGGTGGCTTTGGTAACGGAGGAGATCCCAACGAACAGTTCCATCGGAACGAAGCGATCTCGGCCGTCGTAGACGAGGGTTTCTTGGGCGAAGAAGATGATGACTATGAAGATCTCTACAATGATGTGAATGTCGGCGAGGGTTTTCTTCAATCTTTGCGTAAAAACGAGGATGTAGGGTTTCGAAATGAGGAGGTTGAGAAGAAGGTTGAGTCGCCAGAGCAGCAGCAGCAGCAGCAGCCGCCTCCTCCTCCTCCTCCTCCGCAGATGGTGGCGGAGACTGGTGCCTCGGTGGTTCCTGGCGTGGGGTTCGGTGGTGGGGGTGGAGATGGTGGCGAGGAGAGGAAGTTTGAGAATGATGCTGGAGGTGTTGATAGTGGGTCTAGGGTTTCTGGTAGAGTAGAGGGGTATCATAGTGCGGGGTTTAGAGGTAATGAGATGGGAGTGAAAGGACTGGCAGGAGGAGCTGTTGTACCGCCTGTAACGTCTGCTGGTGGTGGCGGTGGTGGGATGAGGATTGAATTAGGGCAGGTGTCTGGTAAAGTGACTCAGTTAGAAGAGCAAACCGTGAGTAATAATGTGCCAAATCAAAGGATTGGGCAGCAATCTCATGTTGCAGGCGTAGGGGCTGTAGGGAATGTAGGGACTGTGGGGAATGTGGGGAGAGATGCTTTTCCAAGACAAGGAGGTGGAAATATTAATGTTGCTGGTGGGAGTGGTTTTGGAAATGGCAATGGCGGTGGTGGTGGAGGTACAATTTTATTTGTTGGTGATTTGCACTGGTGGACTACAGATGCTGAGCTTGAGGAGGAGCTCTGCAAGTATGGGGTTGTCAAGGAAGTGAAATTCTTTGATGAGAAAGCTAGTGGGAAGTCAAAAGGATATTGCCAGGTTGAGTTTTATGATCCTGCTGCAGCCGCAGCTTGCAAGGATGGAATGAACGGACATGTTTTTAATGGGCGTCCATGTGTTGTTGCATATGCCTCGCCATTTAGCATTAAAAGAATGGGGGAGGCTCAGTTAAATAGAAACCAACAGACAGGCCAGTCTGCTCCTGCTCAATCAAGGAGGGGTCCTGGAGATGCCCCTGTTAAAAATGGTGGCAACAACATTGCAGCGGGTGGGAATCACCAAGGTGGCAATGACAACTATCGAGGTTATGGGAGAGGAAACTGGGGAAGAGGCAATACTCAGATGGCAAATCGAGGGCCTGTTGGTCAAATGAGAAATAGAGGTGGCGGGATGGGTGGCCGGGGTATCATGGGGAATGGTGGAAATGGTTTTGGGCAGGGTATTGGTGCAACTGCTCCTTTGTTGCCTCCTCAAGCGATGATGGCTCAAGGCTTTGACCCGGGCTTTGGAGCACCTATGGGGAGAATGGGAAATTATGGAGGATTTCCTGGTGCTCCAACTCCACCCTTTTCTGGAATTTTGTCTTCATTTCCTCCTGTAGGAAGTGTTGGTTTGCCTGGTGTAGCTCCTCATGTGAATCCAGCATTTTTTGGGAGAGGGATGCCAATGAATGGAATGGGTATGATGCCCACAACTGGTGTTGAGGGACATAATATGGGAATGTGGTCCGATCCTAATATGGCTGCATGGACCGGTGAGGAGCATGGTGGGAGAGCAGGGGAGTCCAGTTATGGGGAGGAAGCAGTGTCTGACCATCAATATGGAGAAGTAAGTCATGACAGAGGGGGTTGGCCAAATGCCATGAAAGAAAAAGATAGAGGGTCAGAAAGGGACTGGTCTGGGTCTTCAGAGAGAAGGTATCGAGATGACAGAGAACCCGTTTATGACAGGGACGTGCCTAGAGAAAAAGATTTAGGTCATGATCAGGATTTGTCAGAAAGGAGGCATCGTGATGACAGAGGTATTAGTCGAGATAGGGAGAGGGAGCGTGATCGGGATAGGGAACGTTCTCGTGATCGTGACCGTGATAGGGATCGTGATCGGGAAAGGGAAAGAGAACGGGACCGGGATCGTCATAGGGATGACAGAGAAAAATACATGGATCATCATAGGTACAGGGACCGCGAACCAGAATATGACGATGAATGGGAAAGGGGACGATCATCAAGGACTCACAGTAAGTCGCGGTTGTCACAAGAAGAAGAGCAGCGTTCAAGATCAAGGGATGCTGAATATGGAAAGAGGCGAAGACTAACCTCTGAGTAACCTAATGACATTACATCTCTTCGATTTCCTGGAAAAAGAAAAAGAAAAATGAAAACTACCTGAACTGTGGGTTCACCATGTTCACTTTGAGTCTCTTGGAAGTTGTGTTCTTGGGCATCCATTGTAACTGAACAGTGGTATATCTGGTATCTTTCATGATTTCAGATGTCTGGAATCTCCCTCTTGCTTCTTTTTTCAGGAGCATGGTTTCCTAGGCACATGAAAAAAGTAAGTTCTTTTCCTCTGAAATTTTATCTCAACATTCTGTATTTATTCATAGTTTGTGGCATATTGATGCATTATTTTTGTGGTCATGTAACTCTTCAACTCTTTTTATCTTGGTGTTCAAAGTTCTTGTATTTTACTTGGCTACCTCTGAAAATATAGACGAGATTGCTTTGGATTAGTGACTTTTGTGTGCAGGGGATTTAATTTAGTAGTAGCTTTTTGTGCAAGAGTTCATTTTAGTTGCACGTGTTAAATCAAATTGTAATTGTTACCATTTTTCTCCAAATTACGAGGGTACCTATTTTAGTTTCTAAAGGGTTTTTTTTTTTTTTTTTTTTAATTTTTATTTTATCTAAAGTTAATTTATATTATTCTATAGAAATAAGCTAGGCTTGAGTTTGTTCCCCAGTGGGTATAATATTTGTCACTACTATGTTTGTTTAACCAATTAAATGGAAGTTGAATTCTTAAAGACCTTGACCTTCCACTTCTCCACATTTGCTTATACAAGCCTTGGTGATGTTATTAAATTTCCCCCCCTAAAAGTTGCACTCTCTTACTCCATCTTTATCCTGCATCTCTACTGCCAGGTGTGTGTATTATTCTGCACCAAGTAATATGTATAAAGTATATATATATCCACATTAATTGTAGAACATAATGTGTTATTCCTGTTCTGGGCCCCCATGCCTGATCTGAAAAAGTTTATTTGGCCATAAAATGGACCTTTACCCTGCCCATCCAGGCTATACACCAAGAATAAGTCCTGTGATGATCTGGGAGCTTCCAGCAAGTAGATGACTATTCCTACCCAAAGGCATTTTTGTGTGCCTTTGTTATTGATGTTACCATTAAAAGTGTAACGGCCCCCTATAAATTCTTTCTAGAATGCTCCAGTTGAACTACAGTCTTGGGTCAGCTTTTCAGCTCTACAAAGTCACTCAAATTTAGCTTACCTTATTTATTTACTCCCTCCATCCCAAAATAGATGACCGCTTTGGGAACTGTGACTCACGTGAGGTGTCTATTTGTCATAGGATCTCAGCAGATACATTACCCTCTCTCTTGCTGCTCTGAACATTCTCGCCAACCACAATGTTTGCTGATTTATATGCGCATCACCCATGAAATCAAATCATGTTACAAATATGGTGACATATCTGTGTACTTTTCCATACAATAATATGTCGAAGTCATTTCTACTAAAGTGTATAAAAGTTGCTCCTAACAAATGATACTGGTAGCTGACTTGCATACATCAGCTGGGAAAAATTAGCTGTATTTGATTTTGTTTTAGCCAAGGCTGCAATTCTGTGCTTAAACTCATCCTTTGGTACCTCTGTGTGTTTGACAAAAATGTATAGATGTTCCCTGTGTTTCCAAAAAGTACACAGACCTCTCATTATGTATATGTTTTTAGTTACACTTTTGCCCTTCCATTAAAGGTGAAGGTTGGTCTACATTTAAAATTGCTGATTTCAGAAACCGAACCCTTGTTAATTCCTTGTTTGCCCTTGAAAGGATTGGGGAGACTATGTTATCCTCTGATAGCTACTTGAAATCACAATTTTACCCTTACTATATTATAACAAAGATAAAAGAATGTACTTTCCCTTGGCAATCTCTTTTTATTTCTCTCAACATCCTTTACCAATTTGCATCAATTTGTAGCTAAATTTACCTTCAATGGAGCAACTCAGGGCTTCCATTTCACTGTGAATAGAGATGGGGTCTAGCTAGAGGGGGAACACACACGCATATATATATATATATATATATATATATATATCATCCTACAAGACGTAGATGGAAAGTGGATTGGAGTTGATTAATGTGGTGGTGAAGACCTATATATATATATATATATCATCCTACAAGACGTAGATGGAAAGTGGATTGGAGTTGATTAATGTGGTGGTGAAGACCTTTGATGCAACCTCATGGTTAGAAGGATGCATGGGTTACATGAGATATAATTACATAGTTATTACTATCTGCCATTTGCTTAAAGTTCTACTCATTACCAACAATGCCACTACCCGCATCACTGTATCCAACTCACTCTACTAAAAAAGAGGATCTACAAATTGATGAACATGAGACATGATTACAAAGGGTTGAAAAAAATGAGATGGAGAAATAAATTTCATTTGGAATAATCTTCGCACAATTGGCAATTACTCTTTTTTTGCGATTCCATAGTTCAAAGATAAGCAATTACTATAACAATGAATGTGATTAATGTTATTCAAATGAAATGAGTTACGGGCTCCAAGGTTTCTTGAATTTAAACAAGGCAGGAGGTTTAAAAGAATGATAGGAAATAATTGAACCCTACTTCTTGTGACATGGACATGACTTTCAGATTGGGTGGATATCTTGTCCGTAAGAGACTCTAGTTGTTTCAGAGTGGTTGGAGTTGGCACAATTCCCAACCGTGACAACGCAGTAAGCCATTCAAAAACTAGATATGACCTCAAAATTTTAATAAAAAGGGTAACAACCACTGAGACAATGGGAGATGAGTTTAATTGTCGATAAGACAGTCCAGATCATCATCTAGGGCCCCTAAATGACCACTCAGTGATGAAGGATGCTTAAACAGTCAAGAAAGGATTGGAAAGTTGGAATATTACCAATTTACCATCTTTGATGAGCAAGATTAGCACATTTAGGCTTCCTGGAGTTGGTTTGTTTAATATAGGTGATTCTTATAAAGTCTTGGGATGATTGAAATATAGTATTTTAATGCACAAGTTACCTATATACTTCATTAAATTAGTTATGTTGGAAATTATGTAAGAAACATTGGCTGAGTGGATCTTATATGGCATAAGCTGTTGATGTCTGCTCTATGACCCTTTTCCTAGAAAGCCTGCTGAGAATTCTTTTTCGTTTTATCTTATGGAAGAAGGGGGGAAAACGTACAACTTGAGTGGATATAAAGTTTTGGTTTGCTAAATTTACTGTTCTGGAATGGAAGTGTACCATTTTTTTGGCACATGCATTCCAAAACTTAAAATTCAGTGTTAGTAATGGTATCCTGTGGAAATATATCTCTCTTCTACAGTTTTTGTGTCCACGATTTCATTCCATTAATTTACTCAGGTTGGTTTTCGAGTAGTTTGGGGTTTAATTAACCGTATGAGACCATGTACATGTGTTTCTTGAAGCACTGTAGTTTATGTTAGGATTTTGTATTTTATCTGATTAGGAATATTATATTTCTGAAATGCATAATTTCAACAAGATTTTTTATCTGATTCTAGAGTTCTTTATACTCAGCATATAGTGATCTGCAGTAGGAGTAGATTAACTTGTGCTTTTTTATCATCCAAAAGTGTGTTCTTTCGATGACTGATAAGAATGGCTTATTATTGACACTTAGACATTTTCTTTTTGGTTTAGCTTGAAGGATATCTAACAATGGGTGGTGAAGTGAGAGCAAAATTCTGGGCTTCTATCAAAACAAAGCTCCCGAACCTGACAAACAAGAGAAAAATTGCATGGTGTTCCCCCTTTCCTGACATTGAAGTAGAATCGGACCTTTTCATTTATTTGCATTTATGTTTTAGACAAATATCACTTGAACAAACCAATGTTGTGGTTCATTATGGCTTTGAGAATGTTGGAAGTCTGAGATGTGGTGGATTATTTAGAACTTACTGTTGAATGTTATGTAATAGGCTTTAAGACAAGATAGGTATGTTTCAATTTCACTAATCTGCCTTTTTTTTCTTTTTCTTTTTTTTTTTTGGGGTTTTGTTGTATTATTATTTTTTTCCCTTCTCTCAACTGATATTTCAACCTTGCCTTTTTTCCCCTTTAGAAGAATATGTAGAGTTTCAGCCATCCAATTCTTTTGTCGAATATGTACACTTGAGAAATGTGTAATTTGTTGGCTCGTATATATTACATGTTTTATTGTCAAATTTTTACAAGCTGCACTTTGTGTTCTCTCTCAGGTGGAGTTTCATTTTCTTCTTGTTTCTTGTTCTACTTTATTGTGTGTTGTTGTATGTTGGAATTTTTGCCTTTATCTGCAATATAATCCATAAAAAAATGAATTCTTTCTATTTATCTGGAATCTGCTTCATCAATTCTGTTTCGATAATCTGCCCTATTTGGGGTAAATAATTGTAATCAAATCAAATGCCATCATATCACTTCTTTCACATTACTAATAAATAAATCACTTCTTTCACATATCTCTTAATGTGGACAATATATTTTCCTCATGGGTACAATCATTGGTTTTCAATGTTGCAATTATTTGTATCAACTTCGATTATTAAAAGGTTTCCCCTACCTTTGAAAAAGTACTACGTTTATGAATATGCGGATTGTGAAACAAATAATGAGTTACTATTTACCAGTTATATTTATGAATAATATATTATGATATATATCATATTTAAATAGTATTTTTATATAATAAAAAAAATATGCAATTTTTATCCCTTTTTCTTTTATACTTTATAGAAGTCTCGAAATCTTGACCTGAAGTTTGGGAATTAATACTCCAAAGTCACCAAGACAGAGCTAGACCGTAATTTTGTGCACTTGTGTGCGCGTGCATTTCTGTTGGTTTACTAGGATTTGGTGCTCGAACTTGGTGAACAGTGGCACTATCGTTCGATTTTATTATTATTATTACTTTAAAATTTTATCAATATCGAACCTTTGATTTCATTTACTTGATTTTTTGCCACCAAAGTAACCCAATCTTCTTGATCTCTTCCCGTTTATTCCCAAGAAATCCAAGCAATTAGGAGAATGGTTTCTTCTTGTCATTAATTGTTTAATTTTCATAAGAATTCGGATCCTCTCTTCTGACACAGGATGTCTTGCTAACAATTTTATATCACTTATACAATAAATTTGCATGGTTTATGTAATAACAAACTTAGATTATTTACAAAACAATTTTACATCTCTTATTCATAAGCATAGCATAGCTGCATAGGAGTTGATCTTGATTCTTGTTATAAAACCCCTATGAGAATTTGGTGTTAGGACTTGTAAATCTTAGAATTATTATTCAATTTTTTTATTCCAATTCCTTGATTTTTTTATATAGAGCGCGTAAGGTGGTAATGTTGAGCTGAAAAGAAAGCTGGTTTAGGCATTAATAATGTTTTATTATAATTTCAGGATAATTTATTAGATGGTTCAAAACATAGTTAGTGAAAAATTGTACAGAAAAAAAAAATAAAATGAATTTGGAAATGTGCGAGTATAATTCGATTTTTTTTTTTTAAAAATAAGTTATAAAATTTTGGCTGAAAAAAACGAAAATATAAAATTTCAAATATGTATACGTACGAGTATAATACATTGTGTGGATTAAAAATTTGGCTATATATACATACATTATTTATTTTATTATGTATCACATCCTTGTAAAGACATTAAAAGAAAATGCAACAAATAATAAAATAAATAAATAAAATATTAGAAATAATAAAATAAAATTACATTTTATACAAATTGACACGGTCACAATAACCATGAAAGAAATAAACTAATTAAATATAATTAATCAATAATTATGACATCATAAATTCATCACAAATTAATAAAAAAAATTCTAAGAATTTCAAATAATCAATTAAGTTTATCTAAAAGTAAATAAAAAAATTCTCTGTATTTTCCATATTTTCTTGAGAACCTATATATAAATGCATGAGCATAATTTATTAAGATTAAAATTTTAAATTAAACTAGATTAGAATTTCACATAATACATTTATTCATATGCTTAAATCCTAAAAGTGTTCTCGACTCATTTTACCACTAAAAAGTGTATAAACTTTCCAAAACAAAATTTAAAAAATCTTTAAAATAATAAAAAAATATCTACAAAGATCTATTAGAATATACATTGTGTTTCATAAAGCGCGGGTATATATATTTTCCATTACTTAATTGAGGATCACGCCTTGGAGTGCTAAATACATTAAATTTAGTATAAAAAAAAAAAATTGTATTTGAAAAAAATATAAAATTAGAATTGAACTGAGCGTGCTAAATACATTGAATTTAGTAAATATATATTTGAAAAAATATAGAATTAGAAGTGCGGAAAGTAAAATATTTGGGATATGAGATATAAAACAACATATTAAATAGTACCGGCACATATTAGAACGTTTAAAATCATACGGGTTGATGGTGAAATTCACATATTTTATAGTATTTTTGAAATCTGAAAAACAAATGAAAGTATTTTTTAAAAAATCTAATAATTCGGGTATCATTGGCGAATTTACTAAGACTCGTAATCACGATCATGTGATCTGTCTAATGTAATATAAACTAAGTTTCGTAATCACGTGATTTGATAATGATAATGATAATGATGTAAGTTTTTAACGATGGAGGATGATAACTGGGCTTATACTATAGATAGATAATTATCATCATCACTGTTATGGTGTTTACTATGAGTGAAAATTTTATAAAAGAGAGAGGGTTAGGGTGTGATTTTTGTGGGTTAAATGAGTTTAGTGTAGAATATAGTATATTAAATGGAGATGGGAATCTCATACGAGCATACAAGTATATATTTTATATATAAAGGGAAAAACAGCTTAATGGAAGTTGATGCATAAAAAAAAAAATGGTAATGTCGGCCGAGCTAGTTCACGCCCAAAGGGGGCACATGTCCCTAGATTGGCCTCACCCATTATATTATTATTATTATTATTTTTATTTTTTTTTTATTTTTATTTTTTTACATATATATAGAAATTTGTACATAATGCCTCACTAAAATTATTTTAATTTTTAAAATTCTCTTTAATTTTTCCTTATTTTCCTTTTTCTCTCTTTAAATTCTTTTAATTTCCTTAAATAAGTATAATATACCTTCTCAGTTGCCTTCGAATTCTTTTTCTTTCCAAAGTTATGTCATAATATATCTAATACCATCCATATAAACAAGGGATGTATATTGCACTCTGATTTTTATACTCTTTCGATCTTTTCAGTGTTTATTAGATATTTTAATAAAGAGAGTGACACAACTGTTTCTCAATTTGTTTAGTGAGAGAGTATTTCAACTACATCTAATGATCTTTCTTAAGTGTTTTAATTTAGTATTTATTTTTTGCAAGTAAAATCAAATCTCTGTTTTTAATTAGAACTCATCAGTAAAAGATTTAGAAACAAAATGGAGGTATTTTGAAATACCTCTTTCTTCTTCTTTGCTTCTTCTCTTCATACCAATCCTCGAACTCGAGACCTAGAGGTTGGTTTGGCCACACAAACCAACTCCTAAGCCAAGAGGCCACAAGAGGACCGGTGTCTTTGTTGCTTGTACCCTAACCTTTATACGAAAGGAAAAGTTGATGAATAACATAATAAATTCCCAAATAGGTTAGAAGACTATTTTGGATAGTTTTCAGTTGTGAACTTGTCATAGTGTTTCATAAAATGAGAATTGTTTCATTTCCTTGAAATAATAATAATGGACTCTTAATAATATCCCAATAAGGAAAAAAAAATAATAATAATAAATATCATTTATACCCAGTTTCTCTCTCTCTGTCTCGGAGAATCATTCAAATTCCTTACATGTATTTATCAGCCTTACAATGCTGGAAAGGCCACTTAAATTTATTAGTTAATTCTAAATAAATGAAATGATGTCACACATATAAATACATATATTTAGCATATGTATAATGGCACAGTACCAGACTCTGCACTTTTATTCAAAATTTCAAATCTTGATCTCCAACGCTCCATCCGAAAAATATTGAAACTAGACTGGAATATCCATCTCTTTTAGTCAACAAAGGGCCTGCTATATTAAAGAAAAGAAATTCATACAAGTTTGTGTACAAAATATGCTGCAACATTGCAGCCCAGCTCAAGAAGTGTAACTCTATTGATTTCAAGCAAACAGGAGTTCGTCAGCCAGCAAATAAAACACTAACAATAATTTACAGCTGCCAACAATTTAGACACGGACGAAAACGCTACAAGGAACATAGCAGCAATTCAAATTCGGAAAACGGATTGTGAAGATAATGATAAGCTATACCATTTTTTGTGTAGTCGTGATCCATCCTGGCAGTCAGACCTCCACACATCGGTTGGAATGTCGGGTTTCTTCATCTTTCTCAACATCGCCTTCCTCCTCTTCATCATCTCCCTCTTCAGCTAGTTTGGTAAGTTCATCCTGGATCATGAGCTTTATTGAAGATTTTCTGGGTGTCAGATCTGTATTAAACCTCCCAGCTGAAATAGGGCCAAGTTTTGACACAAAAAACCAAAAAAAAAAAAATCTTACGATGGGATTTTCACATTTACTGAGAACAGAACTAGATGCAATACATAGAATTTTAATGAGCTTTATTTAGGAAAAAAAAAAAAAGAATTTTAAAATTAATAATTTCCAACTCAACAAATATCATATTAAAAATGCACGCAAATAATAAGCTGTACCAAGATGCTTCAGAATGTCAGTGAAGGTTGCCTGCAAATGAAACAAAAAAGAAACAATCTCCGTTATAAAAAATAGATAATCACCAATTAATGAATAAAATAAGCAATTACCCTAAAAAAATATTGGTTAGACATTCCCAAGAAGCAGTCCACTGCAAAGGTTTCTTAGAGGAGAAAATTTTGAAAGTAACTATCACAAACACAGCCACAGGCCCACAACCTAATAACAAGTTCAAATTCATAAGGATTTGCAACATTTAAAAAAAAAAGCAAATTTACAAAATGCAACTGGTACCCAGTAACTTTGTGCTTGCAGACTAGAACATAGGTAATAATACTTTTACAGAACTCTGATCCTACTTGCCACTTCAATTACCCACTTAATCACAATTTTGTGTGCAGCATATACAGCAAAGGTTGAAACAACATTTCTGTCACTTTCATAAATTCTTTCATTACCGTTACAACCATTATGGACCAAGAGCTGATGGATATCAGATTCTTACCGTGTTGAAGTCAACTTCTTTAAGAATTTGGCATACTGCATTTCTGAGTTCATCATCACTTGGCCTTCGTTTATCCTCTTTAGGCTTGTCCTTCCCCTTCGCAATCTTTTTTCCTTCATAAAAACGGACAAGATTTTCAGAATGTTGATTCAGGAGAAGACTTTCTTAACAGAAATCCAATTTTTACACTATTTCATGGTAAGTTCTCAATTTGAGATGATCTTTCAAGACAGATTCTGACCCATTCCTCCAGTGATGCACCATTTCATGGAAAGAAATTCTCAGTTCGAGATGATTTGAAATGACGAAGTCGAACCACTGATTAACACCTCTTCAGATCTTTAAAAGTACCAAGAAAACTAACATAGATTGAATATATTGCAAGCAGATTAATCTCAAAGTACAAGGGGAAAAAAGAAAAGAAAAAAACTGATTCTTACCATTTTTATTTTTCGAAGCAGATCGCTTTGGAGTCGAGGACTTCTCCTTGACTACTTCCTCATTTTTCTTTTTCCTTGATAACAACTTTGAACTTGTATCAGTGCTATGATCAACCTTAGAGCGACTTGAAGATGAATTTGTAGGTGTTCCTTTGGGCAGCAGACTAGCTTTTTTAGGAGTCTTAATTTTCACATTTTTAGCTTTTCCAGCAGATCTCCTATTTGCAGACGATTTTTTCAAACCTCGTTTCTGTTTTCTACCGTCATCTTGAGACTCATCTTCAGAGTTATTTTCTTTCGCCTCACTATCAGAATGCTCAGGCATCTCATCCTTGGTTCTTTCAGGAACAATATTCACATTCTTCTCTTCTTCATCGTCTTCTTCTTCTGATTCACTTGCCACTTCAGGTGTACTCCTTTTCACCTCCCTTGTAGATGTACTTTCAATCTTTCTTCTTCTCTGCAAAATACATCAGACAAAAAGGAAAAACAAAAAGTAAAGAGAAATCCTTTTAATGGAAAAAAAAATGGCAATTTACTATTATGCTCCATACTTCTTTCACCTTAAATCTGTTTGTTTTCTTTGCTTTATTGTCTTCCCAAAACTTCAGCAAAAGAGCTTTAGGAAAAACTATTTATATTTCCATCAGGTTAAAAATACATAATTGCAAGTGGCACACATACAGAATTAGGAAGCACAAGCTGCAATATGAAACATCCCTTGAGTTCAGATCAGCTACATGAATCCTATTTTTCCATTTTGCTCTTTCTAAAACCATAGCCTTGTTATCATATCTTTTCCCCTGAGAGATTCAATATGCCTAAATTAAACCCCAAAACAACCCCAGATTAGAGATGTCCGTTTCCCCTACTTTATTGCTTCAAACCAGAAAAAGAAAAATACGGAATCACAGTAATGCAACTAATTCAGTATATAATGGTTTGAAATCATGAAATGGTGCAATTTCTAACACATTACATGGACCCCCCACCTACAACTTCAATTTTGTACATTATCACATGAAATACCTCTAATTTGACAAAATGACCAACACCCATCACATGGCCACGGAAATGACACCACAGTAGTGGTAACATAGGTCATGGACCATGTAAACAAAAACCCAATTCCTTCTTAAGGAGAAACTGAGTGGGGCTACATTTTGCACCTCATTACCTATCATGCATACCGATCATTTGCTCGGAAAAATTCTTTCAACTATTGTATCATAATACTACTCTTAATGTAAGGAAAGAATGATACCTTAGCTGAGCTTTGTGACGGTGTATTTCCAGACAATGATGCACTTTCTTTGACCACTCTCCTACGCTTTTTGCCCACCCTCGTCTGATTAATATGGAGAACAAAGGTGATATCAGAAGTCAAGTCTAGGTAGCTAGACTGCTGATTCTGAAAGGTCTTTGATTAAAAAATATTGTAATTAATGCCAAGGGATTGGCTCAAGTGGGTAAGAACTTGGCCCTGGTGCCTCAAGAAGCATCAGGTCTAAGGTTCGAATCCTCTTGGGTGCAAGCAATTCCTTGATAACAAACTAGGATATATATATATATATATTATATTAAAATTAAACTAAACCAACCTGCTCTTTGTCAGCAAGTAACTCGTTAGTTGTAGCATGAGGAGCCACTAAAAAGTCTATCAGCTTCATAACAATATCTTCCTGCGTACACAATTTAATTCATCATATCCACATCCCTCGACAAGCTCACCATTTAAGAGAATCTAATCTTGCATTAATTACCAAAACACGCTTATGCTACTAAAAGAATAAATTATTAGATTATTTTTCCTTGAAGCTGTACCGTGCAGATCCACTCATCACTAAATTGGAAGATTCATTCATGATTAAAGATGGTGTATGTGTGAGCGACCTGCATAAGTATTTAAATGACCTAAAAAGCATCCAGGAAGTTTAAACAATTAACCAGTTGATATCTCCCATCACAGATGAATAATTACATCATAGAATTGACAAAATTAAGTAATTTACACATGATTTTCAGACCTAAAATTCAGCAGTAGAAGATCACCAAACCTTCCTTATATTAGCTTTGGCAGTCGGAATGTCAAGCACATCACAGAATTCCAACAATTTCTCTTTAATACACTTGTCAAATTTTTCCTTCACCTTTGTCTTTTGCTTTTCCTGCAGTGATAGTGAAAGTAAAAAAATGACATCCCAAAGTTGCTATTAATAGTGCACCTCAACATTCTAGGTCAGACCAAGGTTCAACATTCAGATGGTGTACAAATTATTTAAATGACCTAAACAAAAGGGAGAGGGGGAAGATCTTATAAGCCAAATGCATTATGGATCCTTCTTTGATATGGATTTTTTACCTCATTTTGATTCCACACAAAGCCAGAAAATTGGGAGATATTACTCTTGACCTGCAATGCCTGCAAAAGTAAAGGAATACAGTCAGATAAAGGAAAGTCAGAATACACAAGAAAAGCATATAGCTGGAAGCCTGGAACCAACTAAAAAAAAGGGCTAGCCCATTGCACGAGGCTCCTGCCATTGCGGGGGAGAGGTTGTTTAGCATTTCAAACCCATGACCTCTAGGTCAAAATGGAGCAACCTTGCCATTGCGCCAAGGCCAAACTACAGTGTACTAAATAACTACTGCAATTACTATTCATGGAGAAATCAACCCAAGAGAAAATTAATGGGGATTCAGCTGAAAATTCCCTGCTTCACTGTGTTTACAATCTGCTGTAAACTTCACTTTACACAAATCCCTTTTAGTATATTTTAGGGTATCCATATCATCATCAAGAAAATAAGATTTAAAGTTATTCATCAGGGTTTTTCAGAAGAGTGCTGCGAAACAATATCAAAAACATCGGGCTCTTAATTGCTTATTCAACTTCTTTTTTTTTTTCTTTCAGAAATTGTTTATTCAACATTTCCATCCATAGAAACATTGCACATTCTGCGTTCCCATGAATCATCAAGCTGATGCTTGATTGGCAGTTCAATCTGTAACTCTGAAACCCAGTTACATAGAGCAGAGTAATGGAGAAGGACCAGTACAGTGTCCAGCAGACATACTCGAATTGACCATATCACACAACTGCAATTGCACCCTAGTTACTACTATTATCTATTATTACATTAAATAAAAAATAAAAAATTCAAATACTAGAAATTGAAGAAAATGAAATAGCCTTTTTTTCCAGGTAAAAAATTAATAAATAAATAAAGGAAAGAGCTTTGCTCTTATACATTTTCAATTCTGAAATTAGTAACAATTTCTGCATAAAATTTGTAGTAACAGAACCAAATCAGTCACAGATAATGTCAGAAGATTGACAGAAAAAGGATAGAGCTTATTTCAAAATATATTATTAATATAATATTTTTAAATCATTCCTATCCAGTTTTTCTGGTATTTAATAGAAAAAACAAAAAGAAAACCTACACTAGGAAAAAACAAAAAACAAAATCCTATAAATCAACTGAAACATAGACTTGGCCAGAACAAATTTCTGTCATTCCATTAGCACATCAATGAATGTAATATCAAACTACATAGTGCAGCAAATTGCAAGTATTCTTCATCTGCAACTCACAACACTACTGAGTAGAAACATGAATGCGGAAGAGTTGTAGGGCTAAATTAATTTAGTTTTATAAGAACAAAATTCTATTGTGAAAGAACTGAAACAGAAAAGAATATGAAAATTCATCTGCCTGACAGTTTTTCTCTACTTTCAGTAATTTTAGAGAAGATTTTTTTGTAGTTCTATAGAAAACTGTTTTCACCTTTCCAGAATTCTTGATAACTGTTTTCAAAGAACTAAACCAAACAGGCGCATACATTTTTTTAGGAGAAAACAATCTTCGAAGTCCCTGCCACTTTTCTTGTTTTAAAAAAAATGAGACAATAGCAGCCAAAAACAGTGATTCAATACAAATCTGTGTATAAATACAAATCCCTAAAGTTGACTCGGTCATAGAAGGTATATATCTTAAAAAACGCATAACATATTTTATTAAGCCTAGGATTAGAAAAAACCAACCAAAATGCATCTTCCCTTTTACAGGATTTCAGTACATTTTACACCACAGCAATGTATTGTAAGAGAACATCACATGAACACGTCAAGATACAGACACATGTGAATGGACACGGAGGCGGACTTGGTGTAACAGACAATATCGGGGGTAACATAACAGAATCGATTATTGCCCTCTCTCTAAGTTGCACATAATCACATTTCTGAAATTTTTTGGCAAAAAGATTACAATTGAATCACTGCTAATAAAATCATTCTTCCAACTACATAAAAATAAAAAAGAATAAAGAGAGCAACAAGGCCATTATATTGGAGAATTACGCCATCCACATAGCTAGTTCAGACACTTCAGACCGTGCTTCAATAAATTAATTAGATATGTTGTTACAATGATGATTACAAGTTTAGAAGGCAAGGATTCAGAATACATCAAGGAATCTTGCAGCCAGAAGAATTTGGCTATTGTTTTAGTAGAATGACTATGGATAAAATTTTCAAATGAAGAAGAAAATTTCGCTCACAATTTAAGTTCTCTCTGTCATAGAAGCTATTACGAGTGCAAGCAAACAGACTAACAATTAGTTGATGTCATTCTAAATGCCTAATTAGATGATTTAAGTTTTTGAAATTTCTTCAACATCAAGGTAAGAATCCCTTTATGCAAAAGAATGAACAACAGGACATCAGAAGATGCACCTTACTCCAGAATGATAACTGCATTTCAAAAGACCTTCAAGGCAGCAGCTGTGTGTGTGTTGTTTGCATGTGTCTTCAAAAAAATTCCTCATAAACAATTAGAATGGTGGCAGCAAGCTGAAGGGAAAATAAAATTTAAGAACTATAAATTAGGAAAATGTAAAATTCAAATTACCTTTGCTCTCCTTCCAAATAGAATTGTATGGAGCAACTTAAGAGTGTCATCAGTCTTTTTCTTTGATAACTTATATGCCACTGAAACAGAAAACATGGTCCATAAAATGACAATTAGTTAATCTATCAGCTGCTTATAGATATCACAATATCACATACAAAACAAAATGAAAACTCAGTAAAGTTGAAATAGATTATGATAACTTGTCAACACCTAAGAGGCATTAATAAGGAAACTGACTAGAGACACAGACGACACAAATAAGACAAATATTTGAAAATCAGGACACGCACACGGCAGTAAAATATATTTCTATACACGAATAACGAAAAACATTATTCATGGCTTTTAAATCCAATATTCTATTACTAGATGAATTTTATAACTTACTATTAAAAATAAATTCGTACTTATCCCTGTCATAATGAGAAAGTCAAAACAAGGACACAGCAAATGTGTGCATGTGCATGTATGTAGATATGTGCATGTTTGTGGATGCGTGAATGTGTGTGTTTTGATGACTCCTTTGTCCTCTCCTACTCTCGTGCCTATTCCTCTACTAAAACCTTTCTAAACATTTTTTCAATACGATCAACCTTGTCATAGATTTTATATAAACGTACAATTTTGATTCTTCTTACCATTATTCTTTTTTATCCATACTAAAAGAAGTCATATGATCATATCTAACGTATAAGGTTTATTGCTCACATATTGACGGGTGCTGAGAAGTGCGAGTCCATGTGTCAGCAATTAATAAATTTATCTTTAAATTATAGCCGCGTCGACCATATACCTTGAAGTGTAGTTCAACACAGACATAACAACTTAAAAGGGTTTCGGCTTCTTAGCATATAATTAGCACTGAGTATGGTAAACTCCGAGGCCTACCTATAATACCACAAAGGAGGAAAAAATGAAAAATAAACTTTCAAGACAACTTGCAAAGATACAAAGTGATGCAGGACAGATGAGAGAATGAGAGAGGAAGAAGAAGAAGAGAGACAGAGAGAGGAGAAGAAGAAGAAACAGAGGGCAAAGAAATCTCTCAATAATAATCTTTGTAATTAATCAATAATCATCAAAGGTGACTTCTCAATTTATCAACCCACGTGTATAGAAGCATAAGAATGGAATCCTAATAAAACTCTAAGAGCCCCCCAAAAAAAAAAAACTTAAATAAATTAGGAAAGTAAAATATAAAAATAAAATAAATCATAATTCATCCACTAAGTCTAGGCCTATAATAAGTGCGTCGACCACGTGGCTCATCAGGATTTCCATCACGTTCTCATAATTTATGTGGATGATGTTGTGAAAACTGGAAATGATGTGCAAGAAATTGATGTTAGGTATTGCTTCGCCGTGGAGTTTGAGATAAAGGGTTTAGGGAAGCTTAAGCTTAAGTATTTCCTTCATATAGAACTCGTGAAGTCAAGTAGGGATATCTCCATTTCCAAATGAAAGTAAAAAAATTACTTCTTAGAATAAACCAGTATGTTAGACTATATGCACCAATTGATTAAATAACAGATTTGGGAAAGACACTGATCCTACTCCAGTAGACGCTGTAGGTACTTGAGTAAAAAGGTTGGTAGGAATGCTAGAGTTGAATCCACCAATTCAACTAGGTATTTCATGGTCCCAGTAGGCCAGTACAGCCAGTACAGCACCATCATTGCAAGATTAAAAAATAGTGAGATAGGCCGGATCGTGACTTTCAATCACCTGACTCGGCTGATATTGGCCCTAGATGCAGTAAAGTAGAATGTTCATACAATCCAACTGTATTTGCATAACTGACAATAGCATCAATAGAAACAAGAAGAAATATTCAATTGGTTTGATAAAATCCAAGTCATTAATTATCTATTTATCTTCCAAATCAAAATACAAAATAATATTTAGTAATGGGGGGATGGGACAGTGGAACTCATATCAGTTTAACCTATATAGATAAAATATGATGTATAAAAACATAATATGATTATGAATACCAAGAAAAAGGAAAAGTTAAAACTGTACCATTGGGTATATCTTTCAATGCCGTACCACGGCCCTGCAAATTTCCAAGGTAAATTAGGAAATCAACACCACCAAAACTGGCAATCTGAACTCTATTCTAGAAAGGTGAGAATGAAAAAATGTAAAACCAAAGGAACACCTTTTCAATATTAAAATCCTTGACAGCTTCTTTTTCAATGGATTCCACCAGCCTTTCCACAGATTTACGCTCGCGTACAGGGCGTTCAATTGCATAAATCACAGGAGTTTTTGGATCCTTTTTCTTCTCCTTCACTACTTTTTTCTTATTATTGACTTTTACCCCAGCATTTTTCCCTTTTCTGTGCCTCTTTGAACCCTTCTTCTGTCTACTCTCCTCTGCCTTCTCTTCCTTCCCGCCCACCTCCTCCTTGGTATCATCATTGGTTTCTCCCTTTTCTTCCTCTTCTTCTACTTCTTCTTTACTATACTTTTCTTCTTTTCCCTCTTTTTCTTTGGTTTCCTTGCTTACCTTGCCCTCTTGATCTACATCCATTTCTTCTTCCTCCCCTGATACATCCACTTTCTTCTTGCTCTCCCCGTTTCCTTTCATCATGATTTCCTCTTCCATCGTCTCGCTTTTGGTTTCTTCTTTCTCTTCTTGATTGGTTTCCTTGCCCTCTTGGTCTACATCCATTTTATGGTTCTCCACTTTATCACCATCTCTGCCATCTTCTTCGTTCTCTTTTACTTCATCCTTTTCCTCCACTTTCTTCTGAGTCACAAGTTCGCCTATTTTCTCTAGCGAGGAAGTCCCATATGCTGCTACCTCAGCGACTGTGTCTTCCATACCCATAATTGATCAAACTCAAAATAACACCTCAACCCAAAATCCTTTATTTATTACCCATCAAGCCTGGTCAAGATTTAGACCAACAAAAAACTGCATAAAAAATATCATCTTCAACTTGAGAACAAATTACCAAACAACAAAATTTCAGAGAAGCAAACATATACACACACAGACATCAAGAAGAAAAAAAATTTATTTAAAAAAATGATAAATAACAAAGAAATTTGGCATTGATTGAATAAAACATTGAACATGGAGAGGCAATAAAACCAATTCGAGAAAACAAATAGAAAACTAAAATTTTATCATGAAAACAAAAATGTACATAAATGGAACAGTTTTCAATCCCTAACAAGACCTGCAATAGACCAACACGCTTACAAGCTGAAACAAAACAAATAATTTCAACCAAAGTAACTAAAAGAGGGTATTTTTTAAAAGCATATCAAAACCCTAGTCTGCAAAATACAATCTTGTTTACAAAGAAGTACCAGAATTGCGAAGGGAAAACAACAAATTGTGAAATTATTCGAGATTTATAACTTACAGATATTTGAGCGCTCTGTTTGGCGATTCGGAGCTCTCTTTAGTTCTACTCTCTCTCTCTCTCTAGGAATAAGCAATTGTTTTCAACAAATTTTTGACACTCGAAGCTCGGAGTTGTAGTTCGGACTTTAAAAACATGGATATCATATGTAAATTTAAAGATACATATGATATCCATGTTTTTAAAGTAATTTAATTGTACAATGTTTTAAAGCAAAATGAAAAAAAACAAAAAAAAAAAATAATTATAAGAAAACAATTGGATGATTTGTAAAGATTTTTTTTTTTTTTCTTTAACGTGATTTTTCAAAACTTACAACAACTTAAAAAAAATTTGACCAAGAAAGTTATTATTAATCTATATCTATTTTTGACGCAATTTATCAATAGATAGATATATATACAAAAATAATGTCTTGCACGTTTATGAGCAACAAATTTATTCACACCAAATACAATGATTGTCTAAGGATAAAAATAAAATTGGCAAAAAAAATAAAATTAGAAATACTAATTAATTACATCCAACTGTCTCGTTTTTGTTATATAGGAAGGTAGGTACACCTTGCCAAATCAAATGACAAGACTTGTTTGAGGGCCCAAAGAAATAAAGTAATAACACTATTCTTATTTTTGTTTCATGAAATATGTGTCTTTCACATATAATATTTGAACATAAGTATGGGATGTGTCCATGTTTTTTTATTGGACACACTTAAAATCATAATTGATAGCTAAATGTGTTATTATATTATTGTTATAAGCCACCATATTTTATGTTTGCACTCTCATTATTATAAAAGTGACACTTATAACCCTAATTTTATAAGTGAGTGATTATTAGTATTATTATTATTTTCATATTATGCAATTACTCTTTCATATATCCCCTCTTTGTCTTCAATCTTTTATTTTTCTCTTTGTGATTGAATTTTTTTTTTTAAAAAAGAAAAAAATGTATGCTAAATAAACTATCTCTTTTAAACGGGCATAAAAAAATAATTATCCATGTAAATTATCTCTTTTGATAGGACTTAAGAACCAAAAAAAAGGTTATCTCTATTAAATAAATTATTTCTCTTTGACAGAACCATTAACAAAGTACACTATAAATATATATATACATATGCATATATATATATATATATATATATATATATCTTTTGAGTAAATTATTTTTTTGACAAGATCCCCAAAAAAGTAACTCATGTTAGAATAAATTTTCTATTTTGACATGACCAAAAAAATAAAAGTATCTAAAAAAAATCCAAATAAAGTTATTTTTGTTGAAAAATTACGGAAAAAAAAAAGGTATTAAAGGAAGCAAAGAAAGTTAAAAAAAACAAAGAAAAGATTGACAATCCATACTATTGTCTGTCCTAAGAAGGAACGACAATTAAATTTCACCAGCTTCCGGACAAAGACAATTGAATTTCACCACCATTGATGACCGTTGATCTGAGTATTCTGATTAGAGCGATTGGTTCTAAGAGTGCCACGTGAAATGATATATACGCATTACCTTTATGGCTTTACGTTCACATCAGACCACGATAAAGCCATCTGGGACCACTATCTGTGATTGTCAAACTCTCTTTCAGCGGTTTACCTCCACCACTCATCATGCATGATGCATGTGCTTTGCATTATAGTCAAATCCAACCCTCATCTGTTGACAAAATTACCCTCAACCCATGCCCGCGCCAGATTTTTTTATTTTTATTTTTATTTCTAGTTAAAATTAATTTATAAAAGGAGAAGTCCACACCAGAAATGAAATATAGTATATTCTTGTAAATTTGAGTCCATTTTTATAACAGTGTTTTATTTATTTATTTATTTTTATATATAAGGGTTAAATTTTATATTCGACTCTTTTAATAGACTCTTAAATTTAAGGTCACAACAAAATAATCTTATAATTGTGCCAATATTTACTTTTCTAAGTCATTAATAATAATAATAATTAATCATTTGCAAAGATATGTCGTCATTTTGAACTTATTTTCTGAAAAGATATCAAAATTATATTTTATATCCAACTTAATCTGAAATTGTTTGTTTATTTTGAAGTTATTGTCCAAAAAATATCAAAATCATTATGCATGTATAATTTTATTCGATGTTATTTGTTTGTTTTTAACTTAGGCTTCGTTTGTTTCGGCGTAAAATATTATTTTTAGAAAATATATATATATATATATTTTTTTTTCTCTGTCGTCGGTGTTTGACAAAAGTCTACGTCAAATAACTTATCGAAAATTAATGAATAAGTTATTTTTTAGTTAAATTTTAATATATTTTTTTTTCGTAAATATTTTATGACAACTAAATACTAAAAAAATAAAAATAAAAAATATTTTTTAAAAAATATTTTACATCCAAACAAATAGAGTCTTGTTTTATTTAAACTTTAGATTCGGATTCGCGCTATAGACTTTTCCAAAAGATTCATACATTTTTTTTTTCTTTCAAAAATTAAAATTAAAATTTAAAAGCATTAAAATTTGCTTTGAATGGAATTTCGGATTCATGCCCTACTTACATAGGGATGATTTAGTAATTTCGATTGACCAGCCACAGAACCGCCACGTTTCGTTCGAACAGTGAGGGGCGAGACTTCTAGGGTTAGGGTTTTTCACTGCGTAACCTTCCCTTTCTGGATTCGGAGATTCTTCTATTTGGGATTTTTATTTTTGAAGATCCGGGCATTGATTTTTTTCGGTTCTTTGATCTCTTAATTTCAGAGTCGACTCGGTTTTTCCTTGTTGGAGACTCAGTCCAAGTTCTGGGCTTTAGCGCCCTGTGGAGGGTTAAAATCCATGATCATCTGTGTCCCATGGACCCGTCTTCAGTTCAAACCAATCCTTCCATCGAAGAAGATGAGTGGGGTTAGCCATATTTTCCATCTTTTTTTATTCGGCAATCTGTTTGGTTGCTTAGAAAGTAAAGAAAAATAATAGAAGAGCAAAATAAATTCCTGATTTTTTTTATTTATTTATGTTATTTTGTTTTCAAAGAATTCAATGCCAATTTTATGGGTTTATATATTTATCGGCTATCATTCCATTATGGGTTTGTGCATTCATTGGACCTGGGTATAAATTTCATGTTTTGGGAACTCATGGTCTATTTTAATTTAACTGTGGCCTCTTTAGGATTGAACCTGCTGATTACTTGGCTATCGCTGTATAAAACACTAGTTTTATTTTATGTTTCTGGTGTTATTGTGTAAATTGATTTGTGTTGTGTAGGATAAAGAATTTTCATTTTATCTTGTGAATCCTACTGTGATTTTTGTTTGATTTGTGATTGTGTTCTGTTCATATTGTCTACCAAACGTACGCTGTATAAGGCAATTAGTTGAAGTCCCTGGCTCATGGTGAGATCAAAATAAAGTTGCCTTTACACATTGGGCTTGTTGGGTTTTAGTTTGTATTTTTTTTTTGATTTGTTCGATCAAATATTTTGTTTTAAAATATGTTACGGCAGTTGGTTAGAAGTGGCTATGATATTGAATTTCAGAAGGAAGTCAATGGGGCTTAATGTGTTATAATATTAGTAAACTTAATCCCTGGAGTCTGTAAGGAGACTGAACCTAAATTATATTTTCCCATTTTATATTCTTAAGATCTATGTTTATATTGGTTATGAAAAAAGCTTTACACTGGTTTTCATGCCACCCTCCTCCTTTTTTCAGACTTGAGATTGGCTCCATAAAGATAAGGCACTATGCCTAGGACATGGGAAAAAAAACCATAATAACTTGAGAGGGCGTAAAGGATAAAATAAGTAAAATATTAAGAGACCATGCCAGAAAAAATGACATCGGAATCTATATTTAATGGTGGGACATACAAAATGAAGGCTAAAATCCACAACCTGAATGCATGAGACATAGTTCCTTTGAACATAAACTCCTCCAGAAATACACAAACTTTGTTTCATATAAACCATACTTGCACTTATCAGAACTATCAACATCAATGCAATGTTGATAGTCTAGAAACACATATTTTGAATGCCATGGTACTTCTTGTTTTGCTCTTTTGCCAAAATAATTATTGAAGGTTCATACTTTGTGTGGCCCCCTTATAATCGAGGGTGCTGGGAGGGGTGGAGATGATACGGACCTAACCCTTAACCTTTGGCATTAGTTGAACAAAATGGCTGCTCTCAAGATTCGAACTTGCATTCTTCTCACGCTTGACAGCCCGAAAGCAAAGGCCCTTTACCATAATTATTATTATTTAATCTATATTTTTTTCGTATGATAATTATTTGCTTTTTCGAGTGAGATAGTTGATTAAGGCTAGTAAGTTAGAAGGCTAAGACAAAGTTCAAACCTTTCAACAGACATGAACTTAAGTATCAAGTATTACTTCCAAATTCCAATATCCTCTACCAGTGAACCAGTTGAGATCATCTTTTTTTTTCCTAGTTGGTACTCACACACACACGTCTCTTCTGAGACTTGAACCCCTGACCTCCCTTTGGGAAGTAAAAGGCCAATACCGCAATCATCTTCTTTTAATTCGGCACTAAATTGATATGTTGTTTACACCTGCTTTAGCGATTATGATTCCCTCAAATACATGCTATTTTTTTTTATAAAAAAAATTTGGCATTCTAACTTCTTGCTTTTGCTTTTGTTTTCTTAGTGTCTAAGGCTACTGGTCATGCATTTATTAATTTTGTTGAGGAAACTTTAACAAGGCAAAAGATGAATCTGGAAGCATTATTCTTTCATTTAAGATTAAGTTGTAAAGGAAAAAAATTGAGATGAGACTTGCAAATGATTATTATTTGCTGATGGTTTCTTTAAACTGCACATCTGATACTTCAAATTTTATATTGCGCATGAATATTAAATGAGAAAATGGGAAAATTAAGGGGCTTTTTGGAATTTGATATTTCTATAAGAAAAGTGGGGACTTTGCCAAAAAAATTTGGGTAAATGTATTTTTAGGTTTTTTCTTGAAATGACAACATTTAAAACTTGTCAATTTTTAAATTATTCCATTCAAAAAGATAGATTCTTACCCTAGAATACTATATAAAGAGTGAATGAGCCCCCTGTTAGCTGAGTGATATTTCTTGCAACTTCTGAAGGTGGAGGATTCAAGTCCTGGTTTGCTACGTGTTGGAGAAGTGAATAGAACCATTTAAATATAAGGGTTGTCCATGCAGTCTGAAAATGGAATTTTGTTTTCCCATTGTTCTGGTCTTGGTTGACCTTTGATGATGCGAGGAAAGATTTCAGGAAACTTGATCTCATTGTTTAGAGTTATTGAGGGATGACCCTCGCTTCTAAAATGAATTTATAAACATGTCCTACACTGTCAGATGCGCAGGAATCAGGCTGTGGTTGTTGTAGCTCATGAGAGTATACATTTAAAAAATGTGGTTGTTAACGCTGCAATGATTAGTCATTGCTTGATTATCTCTACTAAGACTGCAGATTGAGGCTAGAAATTATTCCACAAAATCCTTTTTTCGTTTCTGTTGTTTGATTCTTCTTCCTTAAATATCTGCCCTTTGTCGCATTCTCAATTGAACCTGGACTGGACTTCCATAGTCATTTGGTTCGTAAAGTACAGTAATTAATTTACTCGTATAATATAATACTCCCTCTGTCCCAAAATTCTTGGTTTGTTTGGGAATCCAACTTTTTATGGTTGTGGGTTTTTTATACTTTTTTATTGTATTGATAAGAGTAAAATTTCAAATTTATCCTTATTAAAAGACAAATTTGTATTTCGTAATTAGTGCACTTGTATAATTAAAAGGATAGTTTGGGAATGTTATAAAAAAATAGTACTTCGATTTTTGGAGTGGGATATGTATTTTGGGACATCCCAAAATAGAAAGATGGACAAGAATTTTGGGATGGAAAGAGTACATGTTTATGTGATTGGGAAAATGCATGATATTTACTATTTAGTGATTGGGAATAGTTATTACAAAGAACCTGGTTTTGAGTCCCAATGGGGTTTATTCAGAACTGTTTTGATTGCCAAGTGCAATTGGTTGCACTGAACTTCGGTCGTTTGTATCAGTCAGAGCCATATTAATTGGTTTCATGGCCTAAATGGTCCCATTAAAGAATTGAATGGGCCAAATGACTAGGAAACCATTTCAACTGGCTGATCAGGTCCAGTGCTAATATCAGTGCCCAAACTCCATATACTCTTTACTTTCTTGAAATAACACTAGGATCTGGTTATGGCAGGTTGGGGTGTCTATTGATATTTTCAATGCATGAACTTTCTTACTTTTCTCAGGCACAGTTTACTTTGTCTTGTGTTAATTTTGTGCTGCATCAGTAATGCTTTTATTATTTTATAATCAGCAAATAGAGCATCAATTGTCTGGCATCTCTACATCATTATATCAACTTAAAAAATTTCCTTTGAACCCCCATCACCTTCTCTGACTCACTCACAATACAATGGAACTCTATTGCATTGTGTTTTGTTTCCTGTCCTCTGGTTACACCAGCTTTGATTAAGTTTGGGAAAAAATTATAAGATTTGAAATTAAATGTCCTCTTGCTTGAAGTTTACCAATGATTGACTCAGTGTGGGGCAACTCCATGGCTATAAAGAGATGCTATTGAGCAGTTGTTGCATAGTGAGATTTGCCCATATTCTATAAATGGGTGTAGGGAGTTGGGGTAAGAGAGTCCCAATACTTTTGTTTCATAGTATTCTATCTTAAAATTTTCTTGGTGGATTTAGTATATAGCCGCTTCTTTTTCTAGATTGATATATGTGTAATACCTCTTCCGAAGAGTTGAGGCTACGACAAAATCACAAGAGAAAGTTAGAAATATTACTACCATAAATAATTGTGCTGGACCAAGATTAATCTGTGTGTGTGTGTGAGAGAGAGAGATATATATATACTACTTGCACAAAAGCAGGTTAATTTAAGCATAATTAAACTTTTTGGAATGATCATTGAAGTACTCATTCTGAAATCGGTGTAGTGACATCTACAGGATACCATCAATGACCTCCCATAATCTCTTGGTAGTTCTTTTTTATAATTAAGTAATTGTAACATGTTCATACCATAGTATTTGATTAATGTGAGGATTAATTTTTGAAAAGTTTTTCTGAAATTCAACTAGGTATATATGATCATTTGCACAGCTTTGACAATATTGTAAAAGTTGCAGACATACTGACATTCTTATTGTGGATTTACGATTTGTATTTAGACAATGATGGATTTGTGATTCCAAGCTTGGGAATAGGAGAGCCTGATCTAAGTAAAAGTGCAGCTCCAGAATTAGAAGACTTGAAAGTATCTTCTCCAAAGGTGGGCTGGAAGAGTTTTATATTATTGATTGGAAAAGCATGATTAAAATTCAGTAACTGTTGAGACCCTCATGCCTTGAAGATTATATCTAATTCCTATCTTGGTAACTCAATCACTTGTTAAAATCTTTTTAGTTGTTTATTGCCTTGGGACAGGAAAAAAAAGAAGAGAATATATACCTGGGACCCCACGGAGCTCCTCCCTCACAATCAAAGCAACAAGAGCAGAACTCCTCTGGCCGTAAGCAGCGGTTCAAGCAGAAGCTGAAGGAGGCAGATCGGAAAAACAGTGGAACTGGGCGGGAGAATAAATTGGAGAATCTGCGAGAGCTTGTGGGTAGCGGAAAAGGGCTTAACAACATGTCGAAGGGCTCCACCAGGGAATGGTTAGATCCACATTGCCACGAGTCTCAGTTTGAGAGGCAGTATCCTCAATAAGTGTGAGTTCGGTCTAATAACTTGAGATAATTTCTGTGAGCTTTGAGATAATTTTTCTGTGAGAGCTTTTCTCTGGGCAACAAGACAAGACAATATTTAAGGTCATGCGGTTTGAAAATAATCGGCGGGTTGGATGTACTGGGCAAGCTAATATTATAAATGTGATATTTTTGTTACGTATTTTATTATACTTTCCTGTATTATTTTTGTTGATGACAAAAGGGTATTTTCTTGATTGGATAAGTCAATCCCATTTTTTGTTCATCGCAATAATATGATGATGGATAGTATTTTCCAGCACCTCTGATATTTAAGAATATAAAGCTGTTCTATGAGGATTTTTCCGTGTGTGTGTGCACAGCCGCCCCATTTTAGGAGAGGAATTTTCAACTTCCTGCATATTCAAACGCTTTTCAGCAATTAGACCAGAAGCTTGTGCTGGGGGATGTTTAAGAGGCACCATCGTCCCTTTTGTTTCCTGTTCCAATGGCAGCAGATAGATATTCAGAGGAGTGGAGTTTGTATGTTTTCTTGTACTGATCTGGTTCACTTGAGGATGTTGATTTATGGAAAAACAGTGTTGATTCACATACACGAATAATGAATAAATAAATTTGTATTCTCTGTTTTATCCTTTCTTATGTAGCATGGATATATTCTTTTTAATCCTGTAACATGTAAAGCCTTCACACCAGGATCATAGATAAGTTGAAGCTTTTGTCGTTTGCTAAATATCACATCTGAACCTTAAGCTAATCAGGGGAACGCTGTTGATCTTGTGCTGCTTGAAAACGCATTCATTTATATATATATATATATAAGGCCAAATATCATGACTGAGTGAATAGCACAGCGTAACAAAAGATTTTAGCTGATTTCTTTTTCTCTTTTGATGGACTTGAATCTTTTGAAGTAGAGAATGGAAAAGAGGTGGAGACAGGAGCATTTTGTGATCCCTCTGGGATTCTTGTTACCGACCACATGGACAAAAAGATATTCATGGCTCTCTTTGGTGGATTTAAATTCTCTAGAAAGTTAGAAAAAGGACGAAGAAAATGGCAACCAGCGTCAATGCCCTTGATTATTGAGGCTACGATTTTTAATCGAGTCGGACTTTTTATCATTTTCCTTTTTGCTCATTTGTTCTTGCTCAATGTTCTTGCATGGACTTGAACTCTCACCTCTCATATTTTTTTTTTAGCTTTTTTCTTTGAAAGGAAAAAGGAAAAAGAAAATGCTTTTTATTGTTGTGGATTAATGCTAGTTGGTCATTACATTACTCACTCTAAAAAATTTATTTGCACTCAAGAGAAATTGAACCTTAAATCTATATTCACTGAGAGATCAGAACTAAGTCACTTACTCATTTAATCCAACTTTTTGAGCCTTGGGGTTAATGATCCTCGTACAAAGTAACCGGTGAAACCTCCAACTTTTTAAAAGTCATCAAATTACCCCCATTTTCCTGCTTTTGAATTAAAATTAAAATTTGTTAGTATTGGGGTTATTTGATACTATTGGGATTATATGATTATTTAGAATAGTGCAGGGGTTTTATACTTTACCCCTAATGTAATAATATATCTAACCCTGTGTTTGTTATCCCAAAAAAAAAAAAACAAGAAGAAGAAGAAATTTTAGTCCACTGAATTAGTTTCCTTTTTATCTTTTTCAATTTTAGTTTCCAAAAGAAATTCAGGCTTAATTAGTTTAATTCCAAATTTAGTTTCTGAAATTTTTGGCATTATTTTGATTTATTTCCCTCAATAAATCCCTAAATAATATAAAGCCTTATTTAGTATGATATATTTACATATCATTTCATAATGAGAACTTTTTAGGAATTTATTTTAGCCATTCACCTCATGCGTTTTGAAACTGCCCAACTTATAATTTTCTTGCCAAATATATATATCTATATATATATATATATAAACGAAATACTTTACTATTTAGTTACTTTAGTACCATGAGATGTCTATACAGAGATGGGTATTTTGGGAAACAAACTTTCCGGTTCTAAAATAAAATGATGAGAAAAGTTACCAAATCCAAAAAAACATTACAGTCCTCAAAGCATAACGTCCCCGACACAGAGAATCTCTGCAAGAGAAACTCCAACCACTCTCTCTCTATATATACAACTTTCTCTGTCTAGAAACCTTTCAGTAGCCATGGAGATCCCAGAAAAGCTTATGAAATTTAAGCTCCACATCGCTTTTGCTTCCGCTTTCTCTCTCATCAGTTTCTCTCTCGTCTATCTAGCCCCCAGATTCGTCGACGTTCTGGCCTACTTCTGGCCTCTCCTGGTCTCTACGGCTATGTTTCTCGTCGCCGTCGTCCTCTTCGGCCGGACATCGCCGCCGGTGAGTGAAGATTCCGGTGAGAAAACCGGTGCAGTGCTCTTGGATTTCGTGGCGGGGCAACCGGAAGTAGTACTAGAAAGCGAGGGAAGTTACAACTCTGAGGAGTAAAGCTTGTGGCTATATATGTAATTTCACTTTCTCTTTCTACAGTCTACTCTACGTTCTTTCTCTATCTTCGTCTTCAGTTTGGTTTGTCGACGTGAATTGTAAATTACGGTAATAATAATAGAGGTAGTTATCATTGTGAATGAGAGTAGAGCATATTTAAGTAGAGTAGGGTCATCTTTCAATTTTGTTTGAATCTGGAATTTTGGATTTGGTTGATGTGGGGTCGTGTTCGCTTACATTACACACCTATATAATATATATATATATATATATATATAGTATCATTTGGCTGATGTGAGATCACGTCTCACTGCATATATATGTATATTAAATTCAAAATTGTCATTTAATTGTATGTGCTTGCATATGGGAAGTTCAAAATTATTACTCGTATTACCCAAAAAAAAGTTCAAAGAAATTGAATTAATTATTTACGATTGGGTTCAATTCATTCTAATATTTTTTATTCTAATTGGTTCCAACTGTCCTCAACACGAGTTAAAAATCTAGTACCATCTCGTGAGTTACCTGTCCCATGCTAATGACCGACCAGGGCCAGACTTATAAGAGACAAGGGCAGTTGTTGCTTACAAAATTTTGTAGAATCCTAAGAATATGGCCTCACTTCCCTACTAATATAAATGGTGTAACAAATTCTAATATTATCTCTCGTCTGATATTATCTTTTCAAAAAATCTGATATTATCTTTTCAAAAAAGCTGGAGAAGGGCAAATCATTTTTTGAGTTTATTTAACCAATATCTTTAGGCGCACCATCCTACTCCAAAATTCTTGTTTCTTATATTTTTAATTTCATATTTGCCCTTCTATGTTAAAAACATAACTCTTGAATTTCACCAACTCCTCTCCATTTTTTGATCAATTTTGGTAAAGTGTGTCGGACACGCATATAAATGTTCGATACGGGTACGATTTCTTCATAAAAGTATCCGATGATATCATGAGATTTTCGTAGAAGTGTCCGTGTTTCATAAGTATAAATATAAAAAAATATATACATATTAGAATTGAATAAAAATATAAATTATATGAAAAAGATGTCAAGACAATTTTCAATTGCTTGCTTATGACTACATGAACACAAAATGGATAATATATATATATATATATATATATTGGTTTGGATAATATTACAATAAATAACTTCGAGTCGCTCATGAGTCACGATCACAACCACCATGTATGTGATTATATAAGTGAGTACTTTTCACTAATTATGTTTAAAACCACGTATATGAGCTATTTTATAATTTTAATAAAATAGTGAACTTGAATTATTATTATTATTAGTATTAGTATTATTATTATTTTAAAAAAAAGGTTAACATTTTGAATCACCATAGTAGGAAAGGGTCTAAAAATTCCACGTATTAAACATTTCATTCTTCTCACTTTATGCACTTAATTAGTTTTGAATTTTATTTTGTTTCTTCTTCTATATCAATAATATATATAAAAAAAATGTATTACTTTTTATAAAAAAAAAATTCAAAATTTCTTACACATCTAGTTTGGTCCCTCCAAATAAAATTTTTGCTGGTAAAGACTACTTTATTTTATCATAAAAATGTAATAACTTGGTACTCATGCTTGTTTTCTATCAATCAATCAAATTCGAATGGAATTACATTTTATGTTATTTTTGGGAGCACTAAATTTAAAGTTTGAAAAAATTTTACAATGGAGCTTTGACAAAACACATAGATGAAAAACATTCAAAATTAGTAGAAATATTCAAAATTTTATCTTCCTTTTATATTTGCTTATCAATATATACTATATTTTGAATTTTTTTAGTTAAATGATATAAATGCCAGTTATACTTAATTCATATATGAATTAAATCAATAATAAATCATTTTATAATCCTTTCATTTCTTTATTCTATGGATAATTGTGGGAACAATAAAATAATAATTGTACTGTAGGTAGATTCCTGGAAATCTAGAACCCATAATCCACTGCCCACTCATGTGTACGGTCAATATTCTTTACTGGAAAAGTGGGTCCCAAAATCCAATGGCCTCGAACTTTGTGGGCTCCACGGTTCTCCTCCTTCTCTCACTGCATGTACACGTGGATCCCACTCCAGCTCAGCTTAACTTCACATCTAATGTCCTGATCTGAAAAGATGTCTCGTATTCCTGCCAATCGGATTGACTTTTCGACCCTGATTTGACTACATTAGGCTCTTGTCAAAATCATGTGACTCCCCTCTTTCCAATTTAAATTACTGAAAGTATGTGCACTGGTTTTAATTTTTTTAAAAGAAAATAAAAAATAATAAAAATCAATTCTTGTAATTTATCTTTGATAAATTTAAATAATTTCATATTGACTCGGACCACCTGCATTACTCCACACTCGTGTGATATCGGCTAAGTCTAAGTATGATAATTTGTAATACACCAAATTTTAGAGTTGTGAGTTAATCAAGTCCAAATCCAAAATAAGAAAATATCAAAATAATTAAATAATAAATAATTAAGTAATAAATAAATATAAAAAGATAACAAAAAACAAATAAATAAAGTTGAAAGAAAATTAAATAATAATTAATCAAAAATAAAATTCAAATAATTATCTCTGATACCAATAATATAACTCGAAAATTCATACCACGTGAACTCATAATAAATCCCAACTGAAAGTAAATAAATGTCTGAAACAAATACTAAAACATAAAATAGAATTCTAAGTAAATAATTGAAATAGCGATTAAGTCTGGTTACTTTGCACGAATAATCTTTAAACCCGATATTGACAAATACTTGAAAAATAATAGTGAGCCTGCTCCCTTGAAAAGGAGCCCACCCCCCTTGAAAAGAAAAACAATGAAGTTTAGGAATTTAGTTGACGTTGGAATTTTTTTGAAAGAAATAAGCGTATTTTGGAACATTAAAAAGTTTAAATAGTGTTTTTCTATATTTTTATAATTAGTTTGATAAAATTGACTATCAAACTTAATAATTTAAACAAGTTGACATATTTTAAAATATGTATAATTAAGTAGAGTTTTTTGAAAATTTTCTTTTTTTAAATTACTATATGAGATGGCCTACAATTAATAAATACAAGTCCCAATCCAATAGAATTTGAAAATAACGCAACTTGAGATGGAGGGAAAGCAGTCCGGTTCACAGCCCCGCGAATTGTTGGCGAAGATCAGAGGTAATAACTCGCTCCAAATTAATTCATCGTCCATCCAACTTCATTTCTAACCATTCCGATTAGATTCGATTTTTTTAGGGTTTTTCCCGATTGATTTCGCAGAAATTACACGATCAATTCTTCAAGATCTCTGTAACGGACGATCGCTTCTGGTTTACATCGATCGCTTCAGAAATTATTGCACAGACTCTACTGGAAACTGGTTCGATTCCTTTTAAGTCTCTTAAAACTTTTAAAATTCAAGCCATTGTTAGGTAAAGCATTTTGGAAGTGTTTTTGTTGATTCCGAACGCAAATTTGCTTTGAGTTTTGCTCGAAATGGCAGAGAAATAGGATTTTAAGTTTTTTTTTGCTGATATAGATAAGCTTGGGCGAATTGATTGAATCAGTTAACTACTCAGCTGGAAGTGTTATTGCTTTTGTTGTGGAATTGCTTTGGTGGATTTGGGGAATTCAAATTCAATTATAAGTTCACTTGCACATCAAAGAATTTGGGAATTGGAATTGTGTACTTTTGTTTCTAGTTTCACGCTATCAGACAATGTATAAGTTGATTTGTGGAACTCAATTGATTGATATGATATCAGAAATCTCTAATCAAATCCATACAAGTTCTTTACTTCAATGCTGCGTTTCTGATGATTATATTTCTCAGATCAAGAATCTGACTTCTAATATATATATTTTTTGGTAGGTAAGAATTTGATTTGAGCTTTATTTAGAGCACTTTAAGATGATAATATCAGTATGTGTCTCATTTATGTGTAATTTGTGATTGAAGGGTTCCGATATTATTTATTTCTCAAATGAGATAGACTGTATTGTGTCAAAATATTAAGGATTTTCAATGAAAAGTGACTATTATATTCACATAATGACATATTGTTGGAGTTCTTTATTATATTGCGTATGTGCAGCTGTTGCAGCTCTGATTTGTCCAAAGGAAAGGAAATTCTTACTTTAAAGAGAGAATGCCATGCATATCGGTTGGGTGGGTAATGTTAGATATAGAATCACATTTGCATTTATAATTTTTCAAAGGAGATACTTGGCAAATGTGAAACCCCACGGAATAAAAGTCAGTACATCCATCCCCCATTCCCCCCCTCCCAAAAAAAAAACAAAAAAAAAAAAAAAAAAATTGAGGAAGAAGAAGAAGAAGAAGAAGAGAGGAGAAGGTTTAGTGTCAATTCTAAGACATTCTCTTCATTTTCAGATGTCTTGCTAAGAGTGCTACTGATTGTTCAGCAACTTCTGCAAGAAAGCAAACATGGATCAAAAAGAGATATATTTTACATGCATCCTTCTGTTTTTAAAGGTGAAACAAATTTGGCTTTAACTATCCGTATCTTCATATTCATCTTTGTTTACCACCACGATGACTTGGATGCTTGAAAATATATGCATGAAGGTTTGTATTTCAACATGCCATTTTGATTCAAACTTTGTACAAAATGCACTTTTGCTATAAGAATCAGCATGCATTATCATTTCCCATCTTTGTAGTGGATAATATAATCTGCGTCAAAATGGACTGAAGTTTGTAGTCTGTCTGCAGCTTTGCCTGGTATACCACAGTCTATAGTTCTGTTCTTTAAGAATTGAGGAAACACAGAGTCTCAATTTTATGCCAACTATTATATTCACATAATGACATATTGTTGGAGTTCAAAGCTTTATTCTGCATAAATTCTTCTTTTCTCACTACGATTCTCTCTCTTTTATTATGCAAAGCAGAACAGTCAGTTGTAGATCGAGCAATCAATGACATTTGCATTCTTCTCCAATGCAGTCGACATAACCTAAATGTAGTATGTATTGCTACCATCCTGTCAAAATTTATTTTCATGTTTTCCAGTTCAGCTATATATTTTAATGGAGGATATGGTCTGCATCAAATGCAATCTTAAAGCTTGGCTTGTCCATTAACTTTTAGACAACATGGACAAAGCTTTGATAATAATTTGAACTCATTTATGTAATCTGTTATAGAGTTAAAACTTCAATTTAGGATGATTACAGTGTTTTGATGTTGTGCAACTTTTTGATGATTATGAAATACATAGCCACAGTCTTCTCTAGTTTTATACAAAGTTTTATAAATTTTTAATGGCTGGTTTACTTGCATCCTATTAGCAGCAAAAATTCAACACAACCAACGTTTTTTAAACATGAGTTTTAAGACAAGGAAGTAAGTCTGCACCAACATATGCACTGCAACTTACCAAATAAATGCCTATGTATCTTCCAATGCTAGTAGCACACGTGCATGGTGGTTTATCAGGTATCACATAACCTAGCGTGGAACCATCACTCATGTATAAGTCTTGCATGGCTTTGTCTTCATATAGACCATGTGTGCATAAGGACGAGTATTTAAGAATTTAGCTCTTTACCATATAAGAAGACTCATATGAAAAAGATAACTAATACAAGATTTTTGTGTGTGAGAGAGAGGAGGGAGGGGGTGGGGGTGGGGGTGCACATTAAGAGAAATAAACTCATGCCAGATGGAGAAGACATTCGGATAGAAGACCACAGAAGAGCAAAGAGAGTGGACAAGGTTGGAGAGAGAGAGAGAGAAGATCCACCTAAGGCTAGCGATGGCTAGGTGAGGGAAGTGAAAAAGAAGAAAGGAAAAAGAACACATTTTAAGGACCACGTGCTATTATGCAGCTTTCTTGCAGGTTTCTCTCCTTTACACAAAGAATAATTCTGCTTGATTAATTAAATACATTTAGATTTTTTTCTTTCTTCAATTCATTGTGATACAAAAAAAGTTAGCTTGATATATGAAGTCCACTCTGTGTTTTGGGATCCATCAATTAGTAAAGAAATGTCCTATTTAGTATCTACTGATTTATATTTTAACTCTTCTTTTAATCGGAAGTGGTTCTCTTTGGCTTTGTGGTGTTGATTAAGAACATAATCAATGGTTGGCTCATGAACCAATTGAGAAAATGAGCCCAAAAAAGAGAACCACCTCAACTATAAAGGGCTTAAAATTTGTATCATCAAACATCCTCGTGTGTTGAACTATTGGAACTGTTTCATCGACTGATTTTGATGTAAATAATGTTTCATTAACACATTAAGTGGAAGTTAAGAAAATTTACTTAAGGACCAAAACAGTTTCCCTGTTGCTTGGACTATTGTCTTGTTATAGGCTGCATTATTGAAAGGATACTTGTTTTCTAGATACTCAGTCTGTCAAATTTTTTTTTTTCCCAATAAGTAATGTAAATTGGTATTTGGAAGATATTTACTTCGTTTTTTTCTTTGCAGGTATCTGTTGGAAAAGGGTGAGTACCTAGTTAAAGTTCAAAATGGATCTATGGAAGATCAGACTGTAATTGTATTGTTGATGTTTAGATTCTCTTTAATTGATGAATTTCTATCATTTTCTTTTAATATTTACGTGCTCTTCTTGGTGAACACCCCTCTTTCATCCAGCGTCTTTATATTTATATAAAGTAGAACTAGGTCAATGTTCATATGAGCAGTTCTGAACTTTTTGAGTATTAAAACTTTAGGGAAGCATCTGTCTATTATTTTTGGCAACTTTAGGTTGTCTGATAAAAATTAAAATTAAGTACTGATTTTTAATTTGTTTATTTAATTAATTAATTTATTTTTTGTCCTTAGGACTTTTAAGAAACTGGATTTTTATAGAACTGAAAATTCAAGGAATTGGATTAAAGCTTAAAATCACCTTTCACCTAGTACATTCTATATTCAAAGTCTAGTCTCTACGACTTAAGTAAATTAAAATTAAGTACTTATTTTTAATTTGTTTATTTTATTATTATTATTATTATTTTTTGTCCTTAGGACTTTTAAGAAACTGGATTTTTTAGAACTGAAAATTCAAGGAATTGGATTAAAACTTTAAATCACCTTTCACCTAGTACATTCTATATTCAAAGTCTAGTCTCTATGACTTAAAATTAGGGCTTTTTAAAGTGGTATTTTCTTATTAAGTGATGTGCACTAATAAACTCACTTAATATAAGGCAATGAGACTTTTTAGTTTTAAATACTCATTTGTTTTTAAATTTTTTTTATTTATCAAAGAACAACTTATTCCAAGTTATTACATTGAAGAACAAATATCTTTAGTTAACAAACAGAGCTTTGTCCTACTTATCCCGGATGAACCTGTAAGGTGAACCAACTTGAAATGTACTTCATCAAAGTCGGGGCTTTAAACGAGAATGATTGTTGCCTGTTAAGATACTACATGCCACTTCTGGGAACACAAAATGGTATAGAAATTATTATATGTAATTCTCCATGTTTCTAATAGCCACAAATCCTTTTTATTTTCTCGATTTGTTTTGTGGATATCATGGTTGACATTTGCTCATCATTTCTATCTTCATTGTACTTAGAATATTGTTGACTTAATATTTATTGGTGATTTGTTCCTGTTTTAGATTGGTGATGGGCTGGTTGAGATTCTCAGAAGCTGGAAGGAAATTTGATTGCATAAATAGCCCAAACAATGTAAGAGATGGTATTTTGATCTCTTGGCATCACAATCTGAAGTAAATGTATATACCTGGTTCACTTGCAGGCTCATCCCGTTCCCGTCCATGTGGAAGAAGTCAAAGGTATCTAGAAGATGAATATGACAATATAAAAACAGTCAGATAATCTGTTTCTCAGCAAAATGAATCTCAAAGATTTTTTACCATCTGAATTGAAAAATATGTTGTAGTAGAAGGTTGATATACTGGAACGAGGACGATATATTTTTGTTTATCAACACGACCGATGCTTGACACACAAGATTAAGTTCCCGATTCAAATATTTGAAGACAATATATTCAGGCATGAATTGATTTTTCTCTTAATTCTTTCATATAGATATAGTAAGTGTTGCTCAGTATATATTAGTTGTGGAGAAGGAATCAGGTAATTTTTTTTAGCAAGGTTCATAGTTTGGCTTCGTTTCTTTTTTCTTTTTCTTTGACTTTTCATTGATCAAACCACTGTTTTTGAGTTTTTATCATGCAGTATTCCAGCGATTGGCAAACGATAAGTTTTGCAACAGAAATCGCTGCATTGTCATCACAGTAAGTATGCCATTTCTTCAACCTATCCTCAAAAATCAGTTTTAACTATTTTCTTCTCCCCTAACAGGGAAGAGGCTATCCAGATGTCCCAACAAGAAGGTAGTGGCTCGTTTATCCTACCTATTGTAAACTGAGACTAAATATTTGAGTTTAGCCAAATATGCCCCTTTTTCATTCTGGTTCTATAATCTATACTTGTTTGGCCTTGTAATATTATATGCATTTTATATCTTAAATCAGGTTTTTGCGGCTCCTAGTGAAAAAATTGCATCTGCCTACCTATTGCTTGGTAGATTGTGATCCCCATGGCTTTGACATCTTGACTACATACCGGTTTGGTTCTATGGTAACGTTAAATATTATCTCTTTCTTTGTCTACTTATGCAAGTTGTGTTGTATTTACACTAGCTAATTGGAATCCAAATATAATAAGTAAATAACATTCATAATTTGTCTATTTCTGTTAGATACGAGGATATAACCAACTTAACTTTTCTTTTTTCCTTTTTATGTTTCACTCTTATTCTTTTGAACCCCATGGCTTTGACATCTTGACTACATACCGGTTTGGTTCTATGGTAACGTTAAATATTATCTCTTTCTTTGTCTACATAGGCAAGTTGTGTTGTATTTACACTAGCTAATTGGAATCCAAATATAATAAGTAAATAACATTCATAATTTGCCTATTTTTGTTAGATACGAGTGTATAACCAACTTAACTTTTCTTTTTTCCTTTTTATGTTTCACTCTTATTCTTTTGAAAGCAAATGGCATACGATGCAAAATTCCTACGTGTCCCAGAGATACAGTGGCTTGGAGCTTTTCCTTCGGATTCCGAGAAATTTGGTCTTCCACAACAGTGTCTACTTCCTTTGACAGCAGAAGGTGAGATGCGAGTCGAATGTAGTGATTTCTGAATAGGCAATAGGCTTCATCTCAGTACGGTTGCCCTTTTTGTTGTGTGCAATGAGTGCCTTTCATTTCTTGTCAGATAAGATAAAAATTGATGCAATGTTACTTCGGTGTTACCTGCTAAGAGAAGTGCCAAACTGGAGGTTGCATTCTTTGGCTTCTCTCTCTTTTATGATATTTCACTATTATTCTCAAATATTTGTTTGATATTTGATCATGATATGTGTTTATTTATTTTTCCTGCCTTGTAAGGTTGGAACTAGAAATGCTGCTGCAAGGAGGAGTGAAATTCGAGATTGAAGCATTGTCTACACATTCACTTTCCTTCTTATCAGAGGAGTATATACCTTCTAAGGTTCAAGGTGGAGTGTACATCTAAAAGGGTCGCTATTTCAAGTGAAGTAACAGTCATAATGTAGCATATGATAGGATTTCTATAATGTTTGAGACACATAGTTTGAATAATAATAATAATAATAATAATAATACAGTAGTAAAAAGTAAAAACCTTATGTACAGATATGGCTTTGTCACTCGCATTTTGTGAGAAAAATGTACAAATAACTCTCATTGGTGGTTGGGCAGTGTTTGGATGGCGCATAATATTCATATATTTGGAAGAATCTGTTATTGTATCCTAATATCTCTCATTCCAAGTTATTTGCTGATTTTTGAAATTTGCTCTACAGCCATGGGATTGATCACACAAGCTGAAAGCATGGCTTTTCTTTGTCCCTTTACAATTTGTGAATTTTCTCTTAGAATTTACTAGTCTGTTCAAAGGAATTTTCACTGGTATTGAATTGTTTGCAAGTTACCATACAATGAGGAATGCTAATGGGGAACAAGTTCGTCATTGAGAATTTTTAAATGAAAGACGAAAATTTAAATCCTTCATTGCTTTGCTCAGTGATGCTGTTATTTTGAAAAGCATCACACACACACACACACACACACATGCTGTAATGAAGGGACTTTCATTGAACTTGCGCCCTCAGAAACATTAGAACAAGAAACTGCGCTCGCATTTTCAGAACCATTGGATCGACTCATACCCTTATAGCCGTTGGGTTGAAGACCAACTTCACAGCCTCTTAATCAAAGGATTACCTGGGTGTTTGCACAGAGCATCCACGAAATATACTTGCTCCATTCATAGATGCACGACACGAGAAGATAACATAAATTGAAACAAAGGGGTTGCTTGATTCAAAATTTTAATAGTAGAAAATGACAGTTTCTTTGAAAACTATATTTTGAAAGCTCAATTTAAAAAAATTAATTGGTTCCTAGTAACTACAAAACGTACTGTATTTCTTAAGAATAAGATAAACTTTTTTTCCCACAAAATTTTTCTCAGTTATCTAATAAGGATAAATGCCACAAATGTGGGATTGACTACTGGAATTTTGAGCTATCAAAATAATCATTCAACTGATTTTTTTTGCACCTGGAGTTAATTAAGACATGAAATTGTACAAAACTACTTTTTTTATTTCTAAAATATGAATATAAATAAAAGCACATAAAAACTGTTTCCATACTCCATGTTATATAAACACAACACATTATTTGCCATAAAGTAAATAAATAAGCACAACGCATTGTTTACCAACCCAATGTAACCTTAACAACTCATTTTAATAAACTAGGAAAAAAAAAAAAAAACCTCATTTCAACATTATCTGTATTGTTCGCAGATTCACTTGTAAGCAGAGGGGAGGAAAAATTTCGACGAATGACAAATGCAGTGGCTTCAGCAACACCAGCTTCAGTAACCTCCATGCATAAACATAGCATCAAATTTTAAAATCTGTTAACTCTCCTTATTTGAATGTCGATGTTACATTGGAATCTAACCTGGATGCCCTAAAGGTCCGCGTGAAGAACTTTTTCGTAACAAAAGGCCACAATAATGGGGCCTGCTAAATCCCCTAGAGCACAGCCTGCAGAAAATGCATTACAGTAAAAATAAGTCCTAGAAGTCTTGCACAAAAATTTGAAGATGATAGTTTTGAAGAGATTGAAATTCCCCTCTGAAAAGCTTCAATAAATTAAGTGCCAGGGTGACGTTCTTACCAATCCATTGACCAGCTGATGGGCGAAAGAGGGTTGCACCAATCCCTGCCCCAATAGAAGCGAAAACCAGTGATGCACTACACCGAACGGTGGTACCATAAACCTTCTTGCCAAGAAGCTGAACTAGTTCTGCTTTATCAACCTTATCAGGCTCTTCATTAGATTTGAACGTAGCAGAAAAGAACCGGTAAACTTCAATGCCAACTTGGATGAGCCATGATGCTGCGACTCCTAGAAAATGCCCTGTTTAGACAGCAAAAGATGGGACAAAAAACAGTGAGGTTGAATAGAAACCAACAAGAAGTCCACAATAAAGAGAACCAAACTTGAATGTTTTGACCTCTGAAAGTTGTTTTGCTAACACTGTAGAAGTAAACTAAAGTTGGCATGCCTCTTCCAGCCTTACGCACGGCTGATTTTGGAACATCTGCATATGTTGATCAGAACACTCAGTTATTAACCATAAGCATCGAAATCGGAACACTGTAAAATTAGATCAATTATCTCTATTAGCCACATTTCTAGTTTATGGAGTGTACCTTTAAGAAGTTTCCATGCCACACGCTGTGATAAATAATGCACAGCAAGTCTTTCCAGAACCCGTCTAGTAGTTACAACAGTGGTCTGATACATGATGCAGAACATAGTTTAGTTAATTCTACTCCTGAATGACTAAGGAAGAATTTAACAAAGCTTAAAGGAATTTCCAAGCATAGCTTTCATCAAGCAAGAAAAAGAGGTCAGCAGCTGAGTCTAATGCCTTACCAGATCAAATGTTACAATGAGAAAATGGCAGTTTAAGAAAATGGCAGAGTTTCGATAAACTGACAGAACAAATATTCAAAAAGACAGATAACTCCTGGGTGCAGGGTCTTCTGAATAAGGAATTGTAAATAGGAGAACTGAATAAGACGACAACAGTGGTCATGGGAATAAGATTTTTACAAACTTTGAATAAGGAGCATCAACATGGCAAGAATATGGATAATGGAGTGGCAATCATTGAGATAACTGGATGAGATAGAAGTGAGTATACAAACACAACAAGGTTAGAAGAAAGGTCCATGTTGAACATTGAGAGTCTGTCTTTCTGCAGTAGCCATGATGTGCTACTTGATATATTCAAGTTGACTCATGGAGTATGTTTGTTTGGTTACGGTATAGTGTTGCTTAAAGTATACTATCTCAGCAGCAAGGTATATGGTATCTGGTGAGTAGATTTCATGAATTAATACTTTCTCAGCAGAGAACAACTAAACTTGGGTGTTGGCAGACGTCATGCTTTAGAAACAGTCAGAACCAGATTGTTGCACATGTCTTGAGCATCCAATGATCAAGTTCATTTTTCTTATTTGAAATTATCTACTAGCTAAAGGACTGTGTCATCACATATCGGGTATATTGTGTCCATACTAGAGGAAGTTCTGAACTAACATCGTGTAGTAATTAATTTTTCTGGGGTCAATATACCGTAATTACTTAATCAGGTACTAGCTACACACTCAACCCAAAGAACGAATAGTTCTAGTTTCTTAAAAAACTTAACAATTTTACAGTTTAGAACGGTTGGAATCCTCTAATATATTAGGCACTCACATGCACGGCTGATATTGGACAAAGCTATGGATTCTCCGAAGAGAATAGCACGATAAGACTAGCATTGAAATGCATAAAATACCACAACAATGCAAAAGAAAAAATGGAGAATTAGTGAGGAAAAGAAAAATTTGGGGAAAAAAAAATGGATTCTCCAATGTTGACGGTCACATTTAGGCTCCATTCCATTTGAGGATTAGCGTGGAAAAAGAAAAAAACAATGCAAAAGAAATTATTTTCCTCATTTGGTTACCATGAAAAAAAAAAATGGAGTAAAAGAAATAATGTGGGAAAATAAAATAGACAAGCAATGACAAGGATTAATTGAGATGAGTAGAGTTAAGTTGGTTTTCTAAACCAAATTACTTTCTATTTATTCCTTGAGGCTTTTTATGACTCACAATCTAACTTCTACTTTTAAACTTTTTGAGATAAGCACAATTGTTTAATTGAATATTAAGATAGGGAAAATAGGTATAAAGTAAAGCAAATACTAATAATCTCAGTACAATAATTATACCCAATCATTTCAAGGATATAAACAGGCAGTGAATTTATTATTACCATTTTTCTAAATGTCTAGTTCTACAGTAAGTTTCTTTGCAGTCAGAGAACATTAGAGTTCCAATGAACTGATTGGAACTTCTGAACAAAGATTGTTGTTGATCTAATCACATAGTCACTGCAAATACATAGAATTAAACATTCTTCGGTCCAATCAATCATAAACGTAAAAGTGCACACTTTATCATTCTCAAAATTGGTGGAGGATACTAATGATGCTATTAACTGAAATAAACCCCTTGTGCAACATTTAATTGACCTAAAATTAGTGATGAAAGTGGCCATTTATAGACTATTACCAACGCATTGTTTCTGTTTGACTCTCACATTTAGTACAATATTGCGATGGGAGAACCACAAGGTCATTCAAGATCCAAGTTATAATTAATGATCATTTTACATACTTCAAAATAGGACATGCTATCTAGTCAAAAGAAAAAAGTTCTTTGCAATCATAAAATTCTTAACTGCTCTTAAAACTCATGACTCACCAAGCCACCTTGTAAGGCTTTATAATCATAAAGTGCTAAAAGAGAAAATATGGGAGAATTTGTGAAACACACCTCGCGAAATATTTGCTTCACTGATTTCTTGAAGGGAACGACCAAATCTGTATGGTGCTCATCCGGAGTGTCCTGTAGGAAGTCATCATCATCCTCGTCCATGTTAGTGCGAGGCTCCAAAAGAGGCAGATAAAACAATAGGAAGGACCTCAATGATGTTAATGCGAAGGACTTCAAACCAAAAGCCGAGAATAGAGGTTTCAGCTCGAAGTAGTACTCTTTGGTACCATATTTCAGAGAATCATGCTGAAAGATATTTCCAGATACACTTCGTATGTTAGATATATAATCGTCGGTTATATCTGCGCCAGCATCAGCATTAGCAACTGATATGCCTGCATTACTGTACCATGAACATTACCAGTCAACAACAGAAGATTGTTACAATGTATTACAACTCCAAGCTATCTGCAAAACAGACTATTACTTCAAATACCATGTCAATTCCTAAAATAGCACCAAGCAGATCAAGAATGAGCTAAAATTCAGTTAGTGTAACATATGATCAATAATTTTTTTTCACTAAATAGATTTCTCCTTACATCAAACCACTGTATATTACCCAAGAAAACGAACAAATTTTTACACAAAGCCAATGCACAGCATCAGTTCCCTTCTCGACTGAATTAGGAAATGATGACAAAATCGTTCCTCTAAAAAAAAAAAAACCATGTTCAACCAAGAAAAAAATCAACAGCAAGATGATATTTTTTTGTCACACTTTTCACTAACACTAACTGAAATATAGCCTTAAAATGTTGATTATATGCAGTTGCTTGAAACATGATAATAGCAGCCTGCCATAACTCAGCACCAAATCAAGATAAAACCAATAATATCTAATACGAACCACATGATCCACATTTTTTTATCTCACCCACCTCAGCAGTGCCTGCTATAGCCCAAACAAACAATAAGGTATGTATACCAATCAATACAAATACAAGTGCATCTTTAAAATATCATTGTTTGCATGCAGTTGCCTCACATATGGTGGTACCCCCAGTAAAAATTTCATAACAAATTAATGCTGAAATACCTAACAGTAACTAACTGTCTTTGAATTACTGTTTCAATGGGTTATAGAGCTTGATTTGACACATCTGCCAGTCCCGGCATATTGGTGACACTTGGTATAAGATCAGCTACAAAATCTCAGATTCAAGTTGCAACCTATATTAAAAAATTGAATTTTATTGATAAACCAACTTGAATTGCAACGAATCCTTAAATTGAATCATATAGGGGATTCATGTGACAAACAAGAAAACTAGACATCACATAAATGGAGACAAGATTGGCTATGTATATTATCTCTAAAATTATAAATATAATTAAGTCAAAAATCTTTTGAATCTTTTCCATGAAATTACTCTTGCACTTTCTTTGATCCCCTCAATCTTCCCCACAATTGAATCTTTTAACTTCCTTCCGCCTCCCTTCCACTTGATCTCTCTGATTTTTTGTTCCTTTTAAACTTGGATCCACAACAAGCTCCCTCGAACTTATTGTAACTAAAATCTTCATGAGTTTGATTCAAAATGATGATAAAACTGTTACCATTCGTATAAATTTCTTGATGGCCACTACTGATATAATATAGGTCTCTGATGGGTTAACAATAATCGGGAAAAAGAAATGAGGCCTCCATAGAACAAAATCCTTTATCCGTGGGCTATGTGGTTCAGGGCAGCCTGCAGATCTGAACCTTTATGATATGAAAATATTTTACGGGCCAAACTCCCAATCAAAGTCAACCCATTACACAAGATTAAAAAATTAGACTTGCTTTCTTACACTTTTCAACATGAAAAGTGGTAGTTTGGTGGTGACAAGTGACTGATTTAATTCAGACGTGATTATGAAGGTAAAATAAAAGGCCAAATCTTCTCTAGGCCTACAGCTTTGGACCTTTATAAGGTGAAAAACTTTTTCGCGCCAAACTCCTGGTCCTCATGGACAAAACCTAAGAATCTAAGCAAACCCATTGTAACCTTAGACTTGAGTTCTTAAACTTCCCCAAAATGAAATTATGAAAAGTAGTTGTTTGGTGATAATACAATCTGTTCAAGTGATTAATTTGACTCCAACGTGGTTATGAGGTTTATAAAAGATGTCAAGATTTTAGGATTGCTTGTACCAAGTTTTAGGAACAAGGGAAAATTCAGCATAACCAAAAGATCATTGATTCTTTTACCATGTCAAAAATCTAAATTCTATTAAATAAAATAACTTGAGTTAACAGTCTCTAAGTTGATTATATAGGAAATTCAAGACATAAACAGGAAACTAAATAATGAATAGATAGATGAAACTAAACAAATATAATAACATATTAAATATAACCAAGTCAAAATCTTTTCCATAAATCACTCTGGCAATAGTATCAATGTTATCACAGTGAACAGTGAACTCTTTTAAAGTACTTCAGTTTTCATCCATTTAATCCCCTGATTTGAAGAGTTCAATTACTTTTGAATTCAACCTATATTTTGAGATTTTAGACAAATAACAGCCTAAAATTAACATGAACATAAACAGTATATATACTGATATATGTATGAAAAGGGTTTTGTGTGTTTACGCATACATATACACACACTAATCCATATATATATAGAATCCATATATATATATATATATAAAGAGAGAGTAAGTACCCGAACAAAGCCCTTGAAGCAAAAGGGTAACCGGCCGCGAAGGAAGCGGCTGCAGTGGAAGCTGCGAGTGACGCTGAGAAAGGACCATAAGAATGTAGGGTTTGGGCACCGAAGCTTGAATTTTTCCTCAGTAGATCTAAAATTATAGCAATTCCCGCCATTCTTCGAAGTTGTGAATATCAAATCCAATCACAGAGAAGCCTCTCTCTCTTAAATCAATACTGTTGTCAAGCAAATAAATTCACGAAACTGTTGAATACTCTTCCTCACTTTTACTCTCTCTAGTTTGTGATATGTATGTACATGTGTGTATATATTTTATAGAAACTGTTGGGGACGTTGCAAAAATCAATTTGAGAGAGAGGGAGAGAGAGGGGTGCCTGAGTCGCAGGGTTGGGGAAATTTCGCAGGCTTATGAAGGGACTGTCGTCTTGTGGCGAAGTGACAACCCAATCATAGTCTCTCAATTTGCAATTTAAAATTAGGGGTAATCTGAATTGGAAAACCTTTCCGGGCAAGGAAATTAAATAAATAAATATCAGAAATTTTATTTTTTCTAATAAATCTGAATTGGAAAAGAAGAAAGGGAATTGAATTGTATTTGAAATAAATTTTCATTGTGTGTTTGAAATAAATTGCAATTTATATCTTAGGCTAGTTAAGGCAATTATTTATCAAAAGAGTCGTGTTGTGATATGGACTATGTAGTTGTGTTAAGTCCTAATACACAAATATAGTTTTTAGATAAGCTATTTACAAAAGTGAGAATTTTTTTTTTTTAATTTTATGTATCTTGGTAGGATTTAGTAATATTGCATTATATATTTATTTTTTGTGTGGATGATTTAAGATAAATTAACTGAATGTACAGTGCTGTGACATCTCTTTTATTTCTCAAAGTGAGATTTGAGGATTTAAGTCTTATTATAATTGTATATAGAAAAAAAAAATTTTAAAAAAAAAATTTGTACAAAAAAAATTGTGTTCGGTTCAACTTTCTAAAAACTATTTATTTAAAATTCATTTATAAAAAAATCTGTTTTCAGATAATTATCTTTTATTATTATCTCAAAACTGTTTTATATTATCTGAATTATTGAGAATTATTTTCAAGGTTACAAATCAAGTACACCCTGTGTTATTATTAGGTCTAATGATTAATCTCCCAAGCAGGAGAATGTGGGTTCAACTTCTAATAACTATGTTATATAAATAATGACAATCAATTTGTAACGTGGCATTGACTTTTCTCTACTCTTACAAATATTAGATTGAGAGTTCAAGTTGTAGGGAAAAATAAAATTTGTGTGAATTATTTATCTGGATAAGAAATAAAAAAAATTCAATTATCATAAATTCAATTGGCTAATGCCATTTCATTTGTTTGGTAAATTATCTTATAAAAAAAAAAAGAAAAAAAAAAAGGGTACAAATTGACTATTGGAACAGTCCAAAAAAATAAATTCCGAAAAAAGTAGGGAAGAAGTCGTAATTTTGAATGAATCACACGGGTTTATAAATTGCAAAAAGGGCCTTTGTGACAAAGACTGCAATGTTCAGAGTTTGAAAGTTGAACCCCATAAGGCGCCAATCAGCCCTCCACATTGAATCGATAATCGTCCATTTGATTTGTTTATGCAAAATGATAATCTGAATCTGTATATGTAGTCATCAATTGGGTTTTACTCGAATCAGTTCGACGAGGGAGGGTTTTAGGGTTTTGATCGTGTTTGATTCAACAAGTATGAATTCGGGCGATCTCCACAAGGTTTGGGAAATCAAAGCCCTCAAGAAGAAGGATGGAGAGGACGAGGCTAAGAAGTTTCTCGAGAGAATTGCTAATCAGGTCCAGCCCATCATGCGGAAACACAAATGGAGGGTCAAGGTTCTATCTGAATTCTGGTAATTTTCCATCTTCTAGTGTTCTTTTTGGTTGCCAAGAAAATGTAGGAAAATAAAGGAAAAGTCGGAAACTTTAAATGGAAACTCTAGTGGTGTACTGCTTCGAAATTCCCAGATTTATATATTGATTTTACAAAATTTGGTATGATTTTAATGCTTTGTTTAACAACCGTGAAACAGTAGGAAAAGTTATCAGTTCACTTGTTTTCACTTTGTTCTATGTTTTCTTTCTCTGTTTTGTTTTTGATTTTCAAAGATGAAAAAATTAATTGAGCTAAATAATGGGATGGAAAATTCTTTTCAGAGTGAGAAACTTGGCCCACAAATTACTGCAAATGGGAAGGTGACCAATGAATGAATATTGCGAAGATGACATCATGTAGACTCCCCATGAATATATGTATTGGTCATTTTCTTTTGACATTGTTTAGTCGGCTTATATTTTAGGCTTGAATAGAATTGCTCTAGTGTAATTTGGCTGAGTACAATAGAGGATTTTTTATTTATTTTTCCCTTCAGGTCCCAAAGAAGGAAAAGCCCATGATTCAATTTTCACCATCTTCAAATTTCAAAAAAATTATCACCATCTGAATGGAACCTTTTTTTTTAGTTGTATGGGTGAAGCTTCTCTTTGAATTATTGTGACATTTCTTCTAGCTTTACTTATGCCTGAATAACAAAAAGAGAAAGAACTGGGAATCCATGATTGCATCTCTGACCTTTTAGTTGTATGCTTATTTTTCATGTTTATATTTTTGTCTTGTTCTGTTTTCTGATACGACACTGAACAAATAAAATAAAATTTCAGCCCTAAGAATCCAGCACTTCTGGGGTTGAATGTGGGAGGTGGTGTCCATGTAAAGTTGAGGCTTCGAAGGGCAAACAGGGACTGGGATTTCTTTCCTTTTGATCAAGTTCTTGATACAATGCTTCATGAGCTCTGCCACAATGTTCACGGTCCTCACAATGCCAATTTCTACAAGCTTTGGGATGAACTAAGAAAGGTAACTTTAAATTTTATAATCTGAAATGTTCTTTATTTATTTATTTATTTATTTTTTTAAAAAAAACAGAAAAAGAAAAAAATGACGTGCAAAAGAGAAGAAATGAAAATGACCACAAGTTGAAGCATTTTGATACGTCAGAGTACGCTATGTTCCAATTAGACCTGGAGGGAGGGTGAACGTGTCTTAAAATTTTATCAATGCATTTGAGCAGAAATTTGAATTTTAACTAATTAGGTCAAACTGAAATACGGATACCAGCTAATAAATACCATACTAAAAGTGAGCGTAGTGTACAGAAATATAAAGCAAATAGCAATCCGCCAGTCCACACAAAGCCACAATGGAAAAATCATATAAACCCTAGAAACGTTTAGTTGTCTCAGATCTAAACTCACGCAAGTTAAATTATTTTCCTCAGGCAATATTGCTGTCGGTCTATGAATCCGCTCACAAAATTTGCACTTCCTCTTGTGATTGATCTCCTCCATTAACTAACTGACCTTCGATTTCTGGTTTTGTATGGATTGTTGGTGTTGAACTCCTTAAAACACTATGATTGTAAGTGGCCAACGCTCAGAAGAAAGACTCACCATCTATATGCAATTGATATTGTCATCAATGGCATTGTTCCCAAAGATTGAGATAATGCTGATGACCATTTCTCTTTTATTTTGAAGTTTATTTAATTTGCAAAGCTTGATATTGTATTCTTGTGAAGTTCTGAATACAACCGGAAGATATTAGGCTTGCTTTTCTTATGCTTTGTCAATTTAGATTTTGCTAATTACTGCACTTGATTCACACTGATCTCATTTACTGGTTCATCATATCAAATCGTAAATCGTTTCTCTTCCCCTTGTTCACCTGGTCTAAGTTACTGCAGCCATATTCAAGGGTGCGATGCTGAGCTGGTTTTTTATACGCAAAATACTTTTTGTTCTCTCTCTCTTCCTTCTAAAATAACATAAACTTCTTTTCTGACATAATTTATAAACTTCCAATTTGTATCTCAATAGAGGTGACAAATGGACTATTATGGAAGCAGCATGCATAATTTATAAACTTCCAATTTGTATCTCAATAGAGATGACAAATGGACTATTATGGAAGCAACATGTGGAGTTGTGAAATGTCATCCAAAAACTTCGAATATGAAATGGGCATGGTTGGGTAAGAGGAGAGAATGTAAGAGAAGAGAATCCTTAAATGGCTTTTCTATTTTATTTAAAGCGTTTTTAGGCATTTTGTTTTATTTTGTCTCAGTATTTCCATGAATCAAATATGAGTTAATGGCAAACAGGAAAATTGAAAGAGTAGTTCCTAGATTTTTATGAAAGCTGCACCATCTTCTATATTTGAGCTTCATTTGAAATTTAATTTGTTCTCTATACTAAAATTATCTTTCAACTTCCATGGTGATTAGCCGTAACAACATATTCTTTTTGTTGACCTTCTGTTATGGGATAAGTTATGTCAAAATCTTCTGTTTGTAAAATTTTAACATGAACTTACACTGTCTGGTCAAAGTCCTTAGTTTTTGGGTCTCAGGATCTTTCCTGTTTGGATGATTTTTTCAAATATTATATCTTTTTTAATTGATTGATGAGTGCGTGCAGTGCAGCATAATAGGTCATTTTGCTGTTAATTTTTGGTTCTTCGAAGTTGCCTTTTCTATCCATATGGCACAAGGATTTGATGTATAAATTCTCTTGTGCTTCTATATGCAATTTAAAGGCTGGTAAAGTACTCTTGATACTGGTTTATCATGGCTGAATGTGATCTAATTGGGTTATTTGTCATTAACCAGAGTGAGTGAGATAACCAATTAGTTTTTTTGTTTAATAAAGTGCTTACGTTATTGCCTTGCTTATTTTGGTCTATGTCCATATATATGTGTGTGTGTGTGATATAATTGCCGCCAAATTAAGGAATGTGAGGAGCTGATAAACAAGGGAATAGCTGGCACTGGAGAGGGATTCGATCTTCCTGGGAGACGCTTGGGTGGTTTCTCTCGTCAACCTCCTCTTTCATATCTTCGCCAAACTGCACTAGCAGCTGCAGAAAAGAGAGCAAGTCTGGGATCTTTACTACCATCAGGGCCTAAACGCGTTGGTGGTGATAAGTCTATTATGGTTGCACTTAGTCCAATACAAGCTGCTGCAATGGCTGCAGAAAGGAGATTGCAGGATGACATATGGTGTGGTTCTGAGCATTGTGAATTATCTGGCGAAGGAGAAAATTGTACTGATATCCTGCAGAAACCCGCATATACCGATCAAAATGCTAGAAGCACCAAGCTTTATAGTGGTTCTGATGCACATTCTTCAGATGCAATATCTCGAAAAAGAAGTCGAGAATCAAATAACAGTTCATTATCTCAGTCTTCTAATGGTCATTTAGAAACCAGTTTCGTGGATTTGACCATGGTTGGTTCTACTACTGGGTCTATGTCTCGTAATGATCAGATACCTCAAAAAAGAAGTCGTGACACTGATAATAGGTCACTTTCTCAGTCATCAAATGGCCATCCAAAATCTGGTTTTGTGGATTTAACTATGGATACTTTGACTTCTGGATCCATGATTAATCATGATGCAACACACAATGCAGAGGAATCCAATATGTGGGAGTGTGCAACTTGCACTTTATTGAATCCGGTAAGTGTGCAGTCAAAAGATTTTCATTTTATTCAACTGTATTCATTCTTTCACTTAAATATCTTTTCTCGTCTCCTGTTGAAACATGTAATAAACATAATTAGTATTTGTTTTTGAAGCAGCATACTAAATTTTGTGTACTAATAGTATCTTATTGGTTCAGTAGGTTTTTTTATTGTTGAATATCGTGAGTGTTATTAACATAATTCTTGTTACTTTCAGAGTAGCATGCGTTATTTGTTTATGGCCTTAGATAGAGGATATGGTTACCCTTGGGTTGAGAATGAATATGTGCCAAATAAAAGACAATGTTAGGCCTATCTTTAGTTGTCCCTTGCAGCAACGCCATATAGGCAGGAATCAACTTTGACTATTGGTTTTAGATAGAGAAAAATGAAGAAAAGGGGTTCATGAAGATTAATATATAATTTTATTATGGTAGATTATTTGATTGAGACAACAGTATAAGCAATGTTTGGCTGTGAAGCATGAAAGCAATTTGAACTACTTTGTGTCATTATTAGTTAGGAAGGGAAGGGCGAACTTACATTATTGAATTCCATGGCGAAAGGTTTTGTTGGAAGATTGAAACTTTATGAGAAGCTTCTCTTTTTTTCCCTGATGCCAATGGATTAGAATGTGGCTTTATTTCTTATTTTACTTTTCCCCTTTCATTCTCTCTTTCATCCATTTTGCCCCATCTTTGCTTTACTTCTGTACTCTGCCCAGTGGTATTATAAATAGTTAGGATGGGAGATACTTATTCTGAAAATTTGATCACTTGGCTCTTTTCACTTGACATAGCTTAGGTGGAGAGCACTCTGATTTTATTACTGGTTTGAAATTATGAAAATCTCTAACATAAAAGATTAATATTTTGTTTTGATTTTCTGTTGTACATATTGAACCATAGTTTAGATGTTCTGTTAAGACTTAGCCTGTGGCATGCTGCATAAAGTTTGTATTTGGGAAATAGTTTCTTCAGCCAGTAGAAGAGTTTTTATAGTAGTTCACTTCACTTTTTACCTATAATTCGTGCTATTTAATTACATATTATAAGAACAAAGAAACTCACCCGAGTCTTCTCCATGTGAATGATGGTTGATTGTTGCAGCCATTAGCTCCAATATGCGAGCTTTGCAGCACTCAAAAGCCCAAAGATGCCAAAGGCAAGTACAGTATCTGGTCATGTAAATTCTGTACTCTAGAAAACAGTGCGGAGTTAGAGAAATGCACAGCATGCGGGCAGTGGAGATATTCACACGGCCAGCCAGTGGCAACCCCCGCGCCAAATCTTGGCACTTAAGGTATAACTCAAACTGCCTGAGAAGTCCATTCATTTTTTCAGTTACTGAAATTCTGTCATTTTGCTAATGAGCATTTTGCTTTGCCTTTTTGGTTGTTTTGTCCATTTCAGCAGAACCAAGATATTTATAGGAATTTTGGTTGAAATCCCAAATTTTGTTTGGATTTTCTTTATAAGAAATTTGCCCTTTAGAACACCTCAAGGGAACATGTTATGGTTTGAGAGTATTTATGAGCAAATGTCTTGTGGTTCTCAAGCACGAGAGCTGGGATTGACGTCTCTTAATTGGGCCTTTTGGGTACTCTATTGATTTAAGAATTTGGGGTTTTAGCTTTTATTAAAATTTCCTGGTCTTTTGGTTGGATTCTTTTTTGGTGAATTTCCAGGAAAAGTCCTTTTAATTACAGATCAATATCGGTTAAATTTATTTATCACTTCCATCTGTGTACCTAACGATAGTGGTGGTTAACCATTTTTAATCCTTATGTAAACTTGTTCTGTTCATTAATATTTTCCACTTATCCTTTTTGTCTGCTGAATCGAACTGAATTTAAAATTTTGTGCTTCTTCGTGCGCCAATAATCGACTTTTGTGATGGTATCTTCGGTCATTTTTTATGTTCTTATTTCAAATGTGTGGTTGTTTGGTTATTCATATGAGTGACATTGTTTTGTAAATTATAATTTATTGATTAGATCTCAGCTGAGTAGAGAGAGTTGATTGTTGACTTCAATTTACACTAAGATGGCATAATCAAATAATTTGGCAACATTATGGTTGCTCACGAGACAGAAGGCTCAATTTTTTTTTATATTATTTTTTTCACACCCCACCATTTAAACGCACACACTTGTGTAAAACTGCTGCCTTGAGGATATAAACGCACAAGATAGACCAAGGACCAAAAAGACACCAGGTGAACATGATTCATACCGTATATTTACCAAAGAGTGGGAAGGTGGAGGGCTCAAATTTCCACAGGGGTAAGTTTTATATCTATATGTGTATATGTGTGTGTGTATGTGTGTATATTAGTCTGACCTAAGTGGACATTGAATCGGTTTGGATGAATTTGATGGTTAAAGTTTGCATCATGAGATATCTCTGTATGATGATCCTCTATATATTTTTCTGTATGGATAAATATGCTTTCTTTTGAGAATTATATTATAAGCCCTAGGAATTTGTGAGTCATATATTTCAAGGTAACCAACACATCGCATGTTATGGATATTATTTTAAGAATCCCTATATATATGCCAATTACTTGGGCGCGACACAACTCATTTTTCTCATAAAAGAATCAGTGTAATTCTTTGAAACTGATGAAAAACTTTGTGAACGATGAACTATGTGAGTAGCTAATTAGAACAAAATTAAGCCAGTAATTCTTATTGGAATAAAATTAATAGAGAGAAATCTTTTATCACAAAAATAAAAGCCAGTAATTCTTATTGGAATAAAATTAAGCCCTATCTAGTTCATAGGAGTGTATTATAGGCCTATAGTTATCAATAAAGCATTTATGCTCTTAAATTGTATTAGCTCAACATATTTATGGTGCAAGAAGAAATACATGGTTAGCGTGCTTTCCCTCCCGAGTACAAACGTTGGGCAAAAATAATTGCAACACAACATCGTTTGCATTCCCAACATGCCATAGTAGCTTGCATAACCAAGAACAAAAATAATATATCTTCTTATGAATTTTCACAGGAAGTGATTGAAAGGCACGGTTCAAAAACGGGAATAAATTTTCAACAACTGAGTCATAGTAAAAAAATCTCAAGCTTGATCCATATAATATGAACCCCCAAAAAAAGTTTGTATAGAATCCCCCCCCCCCCCAAAAAAAAAAAAAAAAAAAAAAAAAAAAAAAAAAAAAAAAAAAAGAACCCTTTAATGTATTGGACAAAAAAGAAAAAAGCTTCAAAGCCTGAAGCAAGAAGGCTTTAATGTACATTTTCCAAAAGCAAAGAAGACAACAACGAAAGTTGGTAGCCTGGTACAAAAAAATTGAAACTAAAATTCAATGAAGGTACATGATTTACACTCTGTCGGTGGAAGTTGGAGCTAAGTTTGTGAAGTAATATATGAATGTGTGATATTGTGTCCAAATGATATTGTGGTTGAAATTTATTTTGAGTGCTATATAATTGTTCATACATATATTTTTATGAATAAATGATCCATCATATCAGGGATCAACTTGTAATCGTATATTAGTTGTGTTGTTACTGTAATTGTATTATTAATATATACGTACATCAAAAGGACCATGTGAACAAATCAAACATAAAAATAGAATAAAAAATGTATATATATTTTTATGAACAAATGATCCATCATATTATGATTAACTTATAGTCCCATATATTTTATTTGCATACAAATTTTTTTTAAAATAAGTATAATTTAATAAATAAGAGAAAAGGTCGCTACTTGTTAACAAAATTAGGGTCAGTGTAATTTATCATGGAAAATTTGAATTGTGACTTTAAAATTATAAAAATCTAAATAAAAAAGAAATTGGAGATTTTTGTGTGATAAGTTTCTGACTTTTGACTATTTGTTAAACAGAATAAAAAATTCTATGACTTGTATTCCAAAAATCAGTGCTTTACCAAATAATCATTCAACCCAGTCCAAAGCAACTATCCAACCTGATAAATTACTTTTGGGTGCTTCCTAACGGAAAGGTCATCGAATTAGTCCTTGACTTTCTTCAAGGAAAATGTACATGCATCATCACCAAACAAAATAACTAAAAAGGAAAATACATTGTGATCTTTAAAAAGACTAAATTATTATTTCAGACTAATTTAAAAAGACTAATTTAAATTAGTTTGAAATAATAAGACTAAATAGTCTATTAAATAAATAATCTTATTCTAAATTAAATAAATAGTCTTTCAAACTAAATAGTCTATTAAATAAATAGTCTTATTCTATTAAATAACTCTTAAGGCCCTGTTTGGATTGACTTTTCAAATACTATTTTTGGCTTTTTGAGTTTGGAAGCTATTTTAAGTAGTGTTTATCTAGTTTTTCAAAAGGGCCTTTGAGTTTTTGAAGAGCAGAGAAGTTGGGAATATGGAAAGCTAAATGGATGATTTAATGAAACTTTTAAAATTCCAAGCGTACCCTTTTTATTACTCATTAAGAAAATAAATTTCAAGTGTATCCTTATAAAAGGCTATTTTTTTTTTTCAGAACCCTAATGCGTCAAGACTCTTGCTCTGCCAATACAACGTTCATCCTCTATTCCTCTGACATATTCTGAAGTTTTCCTCTCAGGCAACCAACGTTCATCCTTGGTTTCAGATTTAACGAGGACTATCGACATCTCCCGCTAGAATAAACCATCGAGATATTTTACTTAATTTTTTTTTTTTTTTTTTTTTTTTCAGTCATAGATTTGATTTTGTTGAGATTTAAGCAAGATGGTTCAGTTGAATACAATGGAAGTTGTTTAATATAGGGCATTCAATGTATCAAATTGACAACTACGTACTGTATTTTTCCTTATGTTTGTTGAGAAGAATAGACTTTCTATATGATGTATGCTAATTTATATATATAATATGTTGATTATTATTTAATTAAAAAAATTAATTTCTCAAAAATCGTGTACATCCATGGTTATTCTGCTAGTTTCCAGTAAAAGCACAAAGTGACAAGTATATATGCGGCAAAATATGTTTGAATTGCAGCGTTGTTAAATCAGTGTGGAAATGATTTGACAATCTTATAAAGTGGAGTTCCTCCTGTTCAGAACTCATTCACTTGTTGATTGGTTTTCCAGTAATTTGAGAGCTACAGCTTTGAGGAGCAAGCTGAGCAAAATGTTGTTTACTGCTATTGTGCAAGCTACATGACTCGATAGGAACCAAAGGATGCATGGAGGTTCAAGGACGGAAGCATTTGATCTTTCCAAGGAATGTCCTCTTTGATCTCTTGAGGAAGCAAATAATTACTTCGTAGAAGATATTGTTGTTTAAGTGTGTTTTCTTTTATTTGAGTAGTCATGTCTACTCGCTCTTATTTGCTTTGTTGGTTTTGTGAGAGCTAATGTTATGTGTACTTTTATTTCATCATTTTTAATAAAACAAATCCATTTAAAAAAACAAATAATAATAATAATAATAATAATAACAAAAGAAAAAATAAAATAAAATAAAATAAAATAAAAAAAAAACATTTCAACTGCCTAACAACTTTCATTTAGTATCAGTTAACTATCTTTTATTATAAATTAAAGGATTGGCAAAGGTAAAATGAACAAGTGAGAGTTGGTACTAGAAATAGTATCAGAAGAGAAAATTGGTGATTCAAATATTCCGGACTCCCATTCGGGATGGTAAGGGCAAAATAGTTATAGAGTTGGTAAAAGAGTTTTCGCAAATATTTTGTCAAACAGGTAAAAAAACCCTTCTGACATTAAAAGTTCTTTTCAATTATGGTTCCAAACACCGACGTAGAAGCCAAGTGATAGATTCCACTTTTCTTTTCCTTCTGTGTGAAAGCTATGCCAAACAAGTCTCTAGTACTACTTGATGTTAATAATAGAGAGAAAAATGAACTTAGTGTACCACTTGATGTTTCACACCAAAATAAGAAAAGGTCCACACTTCTCATATACACAACTTTTACAAAACTGTCAAGACTAGAGCTTTCTAAAATATCTGCACACACACACACACACACACACGTATATGTTCATTTACACTCACATCTACTATATATCTTCACTAGCCTCCCTCTGCAGCACATGACACTCTCTCTCCTCTATCTCCTTCTCTTTCAGTACCATTCACTCTCTCTGTATACAAACTCATTACACTCTAAATTAAAGAAGCACCAACGAGGAAGCAACTAATTAAAACTTGGAAGAGAGAAAAAGTGATATATGTATATATATGTGTGTATATTAAGGGTGCCCTTGGCCCACATTAACTATGTACCGAAAATCTGAGGACAGACATACTCATGTGCATATATGTACACTATCAATTATGTATCATTTTCACTACCACCACGTGAATCTGACGTACAACCCAACTTGGTCCTCCTCCACGTGAATCTGGTAGAAATATAGGGATTAATGGAAAGGGATAGAAGGGAATTAACAAGGAGAACTTTATCACTTGGGTTACAACCCAGTATGTATGAGTTCCAAAGATGCATTGCCACGTATCATTCTCAACATTAACAAAACATTTAGGGCCAGTATGGTTTAATTTTTTGATAACCGTTTTCTGTTCAATTAAATAAAATGCTTGTTTTAAAATAAGTTTCATTTCTAATTTCCTGAAAATTATTATTCAATTTCATTCTTACGTGGTCTTCAATCTCTAATTTTTTTTTTTTAGACTAAAATTGACAATGGGCTTAAAAAAAAAATTTATACCCGCCAACAAAATGTTGGAAAAATATATGCTTCATGTGATATTTAAGATATAACAAATCTTATACTAATATGTCATTAGATAATTAACAATATGTTAAGAAATCATTAATTAAATATGCAACTCTATATTTAATTAAATATGCAAAATAAATTAA